ATAGTCATATAGTACTGTTTATATAAGTCAGTAACCAATGTAAACAACTTATGAGTTGTCATGAGATGTTTTTGTTAATATTGTGTGTAAGGCAGCAAACACAGTTGTTAGTGACTTCAGTACAAAGATGCAATAATATGTTGCTGATGGTAGATTCAAGTCTATCCTAAACTCCAATTGGTGGTGAGGAGTGTCATTACACTAGGCTGGAGGAGTGAAGTGAACGGGCTGCCAGTGGACAAAAACAAAGGCGGGACCCTCAGACCAGGCGGTATATGGGTTAAGGTGAGTCGCTTTCACACCAACACGTCACTATACTGCTTAATGTAGCCTTATGTGCTGCAACCTGAAGAATAGGTGAGTAATATAAGATCATTCATTATATTGTAGACCAACCTAGTACGTGTGTAGTAATTATTAGTTGAAGCAGTTGTAGGGGTATCGTGGTATTAATGTTGTCTAGAGCTCAGGATGGAAGGAAACTCTAATGTGGTTTTCTTGTATAATATAAGTTATATGATTGACAATCTGGTGCTGGAGGTGCCGTGTGGTGAGGGGCTGCTTGGTAGAGACGTTCGGTGAGTAGCTTGTTGAAGGAGGTAGATGTGCAGGAGCTCCGTTAGAGAAGATGTTGCCTGTTGCTGGCCTCCTGGTTGAAATAAATGTTAACAGCGTGGAGCTTGCTGGAGGAGGTGATGCTTGTTGTAGAAGAGAGACCAGAATGAGAAAGCTGGTGGGTGAGGAAGCTCAGAGAAGGACAGCTGGTGCGTCGCCATGCTCGCTGGCGGGAGCGAGGTCCGCCAGGTAGGCGGAGGAGAGGCGAGGGTCGCCAGGCAGCGGCAGATGAGGAGGTGTTGCTTGTTCAAGAAGAATGGTCAGAATGAATCTCAATGGAGAGACAGAGCTTATATACCCAGCAGCAGCTATGAGTCATGTTGGGAAAACCCGAGAAGTCGCCGGTCTTTTGGCTCGGTTGCTAGGATACGGCGGCATTGGAATGCGGATACGCTTGGTTGCTAGGGAAGACGGTAGCAGGTGGTGTGCAGCTACGCAGTTTGTAGGGGAGACGTCCACTACAATACTCCCCCTTCCCTCCAGGCGGTGTAGGAGACTTGTTGATTGTAGAGTTGCTTAGCACATGTGAGGCAGACCGGGCGGTGCATGCCTCATGTGAGACAACGGCGATGGCGTGATGAGCCGATCGCTGAAATACAACTGTCTAGATACACACTATCTGTGGGAGAAGGGAGAAAAAGGGTGTGTGGAGGCGATGAATGTTGTGCTTCCCTCACGACAGGTACAGGGTCGTCAGATGCGCCTGCTGGGGTGTGTGTGGGCCTGGGTCAGGAGCAGGGGCTGCGTCAGCAGAAGCGGATTAGGGCTCGTGACAGCAGCTGGGTCCACGACAGCAGCAGGGTGCAGGACATTAGCAGGGAGTACCTGAGGGAGAAAAGAGGGAGTGTGGAGGCGATGGATGTTGTGTACTTCCCTCACGGCAGGTACTGAGTCGTCAAATGCGCCTGCTGGGGTGTGTGGGCCTGGGTCAGCGTCTGAGGCAGGACGGGTGTGCTGGGGTCGTAGGATGTGGTGCTTGGGGCAGGAAGAGGAGCCGGTGTCTGCTCGAAGACTGGGAGCGTGATCAGTGTCTCCTCCATCCTGTGTGAGTGCTTATCTCCGGGAGTCACCATTGTAGGGGTATCGTGGTATTAATGTTGTCTAGAGCTCAGGATGGAAGGAAACTCTAATGTGGTTTTCTTGTATAATATAAGTTATATGATTGACAGTCTGGTGCTGGAGGTGCCGTGTGGTGAGGGGCTGCTTGGTAGAGACGTTCGGTGAGTAGCTTGTTGAAGGAGGTAGATGTGCAGGAGCTCCGTTAGAGAAGATGTTGCCTGTTGCTGGCCTCCTGGTTGAAATAAATGTTAACAGCGTGGAGCTTGCTGGAGGAGGTGATGCTTGTTGTAGAAGAGAGACCAGAATGAGAAAGCTGGTGGGTGAGGAAGCTCAGAGAAGGACAGCTGGTGCGTCGCCATGCTCGCTGGCGGGAGCGAGGTCCGCCAGGCAGGCGGAGGAGAGGCGAGGGTCGCCAGGCAGCGGCAGATGAGGAGGTGTTGCTTGTTCAAGAAGAATGGTCAGAATGAATCTCAATGGAGAGACAGAGCTTATATACCCAGCAGCAGCTATGAGTCATGTTGGGAAAACCCGAGAAGTCGCCGGTCTTTTGGCTCGGTTGCTAGGATACGGCGGCATTGGAATGCGGATACGCTTGGTTGCTAGGGAAGACGGTAGCAGGTGGTGTGCAGCTACGCAGTTTGTAGGGGAGACGTCCACTACACAGTCATGAGTGATGGTTTTTTACCTCTTATGTACTGAGTGAGCCACTGTTATTACAGGTAGTTCTACCTTTTACCATCCCCTTAACTTGTAGCGTACTGTATGTGGCCAGTTGTCAATTCTCTTTGGTTGTCTATTGTCTCTTTGTATGGGCACACAAACGTACGTACATGTAGATATCTCACACTCAGAAATGAGGTAGAATAGAAACTCACAATGCGTTTTCTGTATATATATTGTTGTACAGTGCAGTGTTAAGGAGTTACTAGGTGAGGAGTAGTTTGCTCAGAGGTCCTGTTGGGCGAGGAGCTTTCTGAGGGAGCTGGTTGGTGAGGCGCTGTGGAGAGGTCTTGCTGGTCCAGTAGGTCAGAGTAGAATGGTCTCCCTGGCCAGCCACGCCCGTATTTATACAATTCTGCTACCTCAGGAATCGAGGCGAGCGTAGCGCGGGAGCCAATCACAGAGATCGCCAAAGGTGCCTGGCACTCTGATCCTGGCATGTCGTGGGAAGCTATGGCCTCTCCTGGGGTTGCTACGTGTGCTTCCGCACTGGGGAGTAGGTCTACCGGCATCGCTGGCTGTACGCTGATTAGCTGGTAGGCGCGTGGCAGCTCAGTCGTCAGTTGTAGGGGAGAGGATCCACCACAAACTCATATGATATATTTATATTCAGATTGATTCAGCATGTTAATAGACAATGCAGGTATTCTATGTACTGTACATTAATTTGTTTTTATATTCCTTCCCTTCTTTCTTATCTCCCCTTTCTCCTATATTTCACATTTCTTTTACCTTCACTTCCCCCTCTGTTTTCCTACCCATTCTCTTTTCCCCTATATTTCGTGCCCTTTTCCTTTTTTACCCGTATTTCGTCCGTTTTCTACCATAAGATAGTTGTCCAGGTCACCCCCCTCCATTTTGTGCTGTTAATTTTCCTAGGATGTGTGAAGGTGAAATAAAAAGTTAAAGTACAAAATAATTCTCTCTTTCACGAAGCAGTTGTGGTACTGTATTAACTTGTGCTGTGTTAATATTGTTATATGTCAGAGGTTACTTAGATATATGCAGTACTGTACTTATGTTCCTTTATTTATGATATACTACAGTCCAATTTCCACAGTGCACCTCCTTTTACTTTTACTTTTATCCTCTTCACCACTGATCTGCTCGTTAGCCGCTTGGGCAATCGGCCACTTCTCTGTTACGCATTGTTGGCAAATACTGGGCATGTACTGGCTCCTGAATATATCTGAACCTGCTCCACTGCTGGTCAAGTCTGGTCTTGAAACAGCTCACACTCAGTGACATCATAACACACTCTGGCAGGTTGGTCCAAGAGTTTACAATTCTCACTCCAAATAAGATTGCATTCACATTTTTCTGGACTTGAGGTTTCTTACTTTACTTTTATCCTCTTCACCACTGATCGGCTTGTTAACCTTCATAAGAAATTCAGCTTTTTCCACAGGCAGTATCTTTCAGTCAACTGTGATTAGTTGTCAAAATATCAGCAGCTTGAGGAAAATAGGGTCTTTTCAGTTTCATACATCACACTCAAAAAATGGAAGGATTTTTTTTCTTATGTAGATTTTTATGTTGATTCCAAAATTTTATTTTTTTTTCTTTAAATTAATGGCCAAAAAATTATAGCCTTTTAAACCCATGTTCAAGGCATCATCATGCCTTCATTGTGTGGAAACTACAGGGGCCTGAAACTATTAGATTAGGTTATGACAGTTGTGGTAAGTGTGACTGAGAAATTGATATGGGAGAGAGTGGACATTAATGAAATGCAGTTTGGGTTCATGCCAGACAGGGATATTACAGAGGCAAAAAAATCTGCATATGGCCAACCAAATACAAGAGAAATGTCTAGGAAAGGAGAGAAAGCTCTATAAGGTATTTTGTATTTGTAAGCCTTAAAGAAGGCATGTGATGCGGTACCATATGAGGTAGTGCAGCGGGCCAATGTCATTATCTGAGGGTTTAAGAACCAGTGTAAGAGTAATAGTTGAGAAAAGTGAGGAATTTTAGATGATTGTGGGGGTCCATCAAGGATCTTTCTTGAGCCCCTCCAGTTTATCATGGTGGTAGCAGCTAGAGGCAGTCATAAGATTTTAGGACACAATTACTGTACAGTATTACACTTTTCCTGTAATTTTTTTACCCCCAAAAATTGATCAATACAGATAGGACTTGCACAAATATGTCGTGACAATCTCCACAAGTAGAATTCCTAAAATTTTCTTGGTTTTACAAGTCAAATGTCACCAAAATTAACCACCATAGAGTTATTCCTTTGCCATTCTTTCATAGTTTCATATAACTAGATCCCATTTTAAAGAGATACTGTACCCTTTAACAGCCCACATAAATTTTTGCACATATATTTTTAATTTGTGCTATTTTGCTAATTTTTCCGGAGACAGTCCATAGATAACTCAAATTACAGAGGTTTGGACCAAGACATTCTTGTACATTTATAAATATACAAAAAGTCTTCTGTATTCAATCCCACAGATTGGTGTAAAGGTATAGTAGAGGGATTTGTCATTTGTATACTGCCAAATTGGCTTTTCTTTTCATTGCAATGGATGAAGAAAGGGAATGCATACAGTACTGTAATAAGCTTGTGAATACCCACCATGCTAGTCAAGAATTATCTAAATTTTTCTTTAGGCTTTTATTATTTCCTTTATAAAACTTTACACACATATCTACTCCACCCCGTACATTTTAATTTAGTAGTGGAATTTACAAACATATACAGGTACATTTTCTGATACATGACACAGGTATAAATAAACTGTTTACAATTCTCCTTTACAAATGGATCACTCAATAGCACCAACTTCACATACCATATGCAGTATACAGTATATTTGTCAGGTTTGCTATTTACAAGTAGAGATTACATAAAAATCTTCATCAGCAATACATTCTTATACTTGGACATATAGTCATCGATGCAGTAATCAGTACTCATAAAATGTTTCAAGTTCAACATCCAGACAGGTTTCTAGTAGTGTTCTCTGTGCATATAATAATGGACTTAATAAAATCTCAAGTTTCCAGCATCCATTCACCATTTTCTACTCTTGTGTGTTTGTCCATACACTGGTCTCTTACTTTATACAAGGAATGTGTGCCTGGAGAATGGCATGTGTCCATAACCCTTCAGATCCCCCAAATTTCATTAAATCACACACACAAGTCCATAAAAGGAAACAGATCTCTACCATAACATCCTGGGCAGCATACCCTTCTTTAATATAATAACAAGCTTCTCACTCATCATTAACTTTGCAGCTGTTGAAGATGACTAAACCAAAGCAGTTTTAATCTTCTGTGTTGCTCTTGTTCACTCTCCACTCTCGAGTCTTCAAATTATTTCATATTTACTTTGTAGGATAAACAAATTATTATTTTTTCTTCCTGGGGTCATTTTCAGTTGCAAAGCTTATAGAATGTTTGGTAAGCAACAATAAAGTCCAAATGTGTTAGCACTTTACAACAGCATGGACAAGGCAAATGGAAACATGTACAGTCACTCCAAAAGGTATCTTTACAATTTTGTATGAGACAATATGACACAACCGACGAAGGATTTGGACAACCCTACTGAGACAACAGGAGTGGCAGTATTCATTTTGAAATTCATCGGATCCTTCCGTAAAGATACGTTTTGAAGTGACTGTACATTCATGTAGTTAAATAATACACAATTTGACTTATTTAAGTGATACAGTATTTACATTATTTTAAAAATTAAAATAAAAATTACATATTTTTAACCCAAATGATACACAATAAGAAAAAACAAACATTATGCTGTAAAAGATTAAACGTACAGTTATGGACTGATGTTTTTGATGCAGTCAAGGTGGAGTATGCAAGTCCGCTCCCACCCTTACTGGACGTGTATACTTTACGTATACTGTATATTTTGTACACTTGGTTGAATTGTACCTGTATTGATTAAAATTTAAATAATTGTAATTGGATATAATTTTGTCATACCTGGAAAGATTCAGTCACAAATCTAGTAAACTTTGTTTTCTCACGAGTGGCTTCACTGACAACGACCCGCCGTCCAGTAAAGGTGGGGCGAACTTTGCACCATCCACTTTGACTGAACTGTATCAAGAACTTCCGTCCAGGACTGTACATACCGGTACATGAGTGAAGTTGTGTACTGACAACAACTCATGTACAGGGAGGAACAAGTGTAGTGTATTTTCCTTAACATCTTGAATCTACAAATTTCACCTTTCTCCTGAACTTGTAGAAGCTACAGTCATTTCACTGTCTGATTTGTCATCTTCTTTACAAGACTTCTCTTCATCATGACTATCAGACACCACTTGTATGAGATTCTTCCGTTTTCTTTTCCCACCAGTGGCTTCTGAGGGTATCTTAATGTTAGAAGCAGTTACTGGTCCTCTCACTGGAGCTTCAGATTCTGAGTCATTATCGCTGTCATGTCTTGATGAAGTTGATAAAAGTTCCTCATCACTATCCTCAGTGTCAGGACCCATTTCTCCAACAACCACATTCTGGAGAAGTCACCAGAAGACAATTTATATCACCAATATAGTACTTTTATTTCTTATTCCCTAAGTAACTTATCTTCATAAAGTTAATGAAGAGTAAAAATCAATTTATTTTTCAATTACAATATCACTAAATTTTTTAATACATATTATAATGAAGTCGAAATGTAGTCCTACTGCCAGGTACAAACCCCATGAAGCATTATAAGTAAAAGGACATAAAAAGGCATGGTCTTACATGCTGATTGGTACAGAAATACCTGCAGAATCTCCAGCCCTACTTCCAACTGACCCATACAATTCACTGATGAAGCAGCCATAACTCATGAAAAAATAAAATCTAATAGTCTGGCAGGCACCAAGTACAGTACAGTACAGACTGTACTGTACTGTACTGAATTGTACAACCAATTGAAAAATTTTCAGTTCCCTTGTATTTGTAAATTTTGTATGATTGGCAACTAAAAACCTGTAACCACATAAGCTCATACTTTATCATTAAGAATTTGATTTTAATTTTAGACTAATATAAGCAGCAATGGAAATACTGTACAGGTACTGTATGTGCAACTCAAATTTCAAATACAATACAGTACAGTGAGTCCACGCTTAACGTCAGGGTTACGTTCCTGAAAACGAGACGTTATAAGAAATGACGTTAAGTGGATCAATTTTATCCATAAGAAATAGATAAAATATGGGAGTTACGTTCCTCAGCCTCCCTTTGCCCCATGGGTTTTTGGGTAATTTGTTCCAGCTCACCGAAAATTTCCTAAATTCAACAAAAATGGTAGAAAAGTTCACTTACTTTGAGGTGTGTATGTAGAAGGCTCCTGGATGATGATGATGATGGGAATTAGAATGGGGGTGGAGGAGAAGGAAGAAGAAAAGGCATTGGGGTGGAAGAGAAGTCACCCCATGGCACCATTTCATCCATAAAATTTTAGTTCTCTTGGTGTATTTCAAGATTATTTTCTTTAAATCAACACTGCACTGCATTATATATTGTCAATATGTAAAATATATTTCAAAATGACCAATAATTTGCTTGGAAACACAGAAAAAAGCATTTAGTTGAAGAGAGTCTCAAGCAAAATGTTACCTCCACTGAAAACAGAGAGAGACTAACGCCTGTCTGGTGTGTTAACAGGCTGCATGGCACGCCAGAAACTAGTTTCTTTACCTTCAATTATGTTCAATAATTGTTAAAATGACTAAAAAAGTTAATATTAAACTTTTAAAATTATTGAATAGTATAAACTTCTTGATATTTACTAAAATAGTAAGGAATTTAAGCCCTAGAACCGATTAATGTATTGGTGGACTGATACTAAAGCTGGTTGCCCGGTCAGTGCAAGCGAAAACATGTTGAGGTCGGTTCGTAAGAAATTCGTTAACCAAATTTTTGTTCGTTAACCGAATTGAAGATCCTTATGGAAGGCAGTTCGTTAACCGAGGCATTCGTTAAACGAGGGGTCACTGTATATATATATATTATTATTTTTTTTTCATTAGCCCAATAAACACGTTGATTATATATATATATATATATATATATATATATATATATATATATATATATATATATATATATATATATATATATATATATATATATATATATATATATATATATATATATATATATATATTTTTTTTTTTTTTTTTTTTCATTAGCCCAATAAACACGTTGATTATATATATATATATATATATATATATATATATATATATATATATATATATATATATATATATATATATATATATATATATATATATATATATATATATATATATATACACAGTAAAACCTCGATTAACCGACTTTCGGATTAACCATCAATCCTGAACTCCTATAAAAAAAAAAATCTTTTTACGGGGATTAGCCCACCCGGGCACAGGTCACTGACCCACATCGGGGCCTGGGGGGGGCGATAATGTAATAATATTAAGGTAATGATAATGAAAATAATAATAGTAATAAAGAACCATAGATAAATGCAAAAATGAAAAAAAAAATCAAGAATGAGAAACAATATATGTATGTTGTGTTGTCAATAGTAAGAGAAGCAATTGAGACCCTGCAATTGTGTGTAAATGAAATAGAAAGTCAGATCAGCAACCTGGGACTTGGTCACAATTTTTGTGATGACATGTTCTTTGACTTTTCCATTTTTTATTCACGGTTTCTGTGCTGGTTCATATTTATTTACTAAAGTGGTTAATGTTTAAAGCAAATTCTATTGAAATATGAATGGCAAATGAACAAAAATAAATAGAGGGAATTAAATGAGGTAGGTTAGGGAAAGGGACTTTGAAAATGTATGTTTTATTTCCGTAGACTTTATGTACTATTAACCGACCTTTCGGATTATCCGTCGGCCCCTTCCCCCCATATGTGGTCGGTTAATCGAAGTTTTACTATATATATATATATATATATATATATATATATATATATATATATATATATATATATATATATATATATATATATATATATATATATATATATATATATATAACTAAATAATTTTGTATTGTACTCAATGATGGACGGAGGTAGTGGAGCGAGTGTGTGGTGGGTAGTGGAGAGGAGGAGGGTGGCGAGTCACTGAGACCCGGCGGGTGGCTCCTCCTCCCGGTTTAAAACCTACATTTTCGTAGCAAGGCTAATGGTCTTATGTTGCTTCTTCACAACACTAGAATCAGTAGCACTTGGTGGGTGCTTGGAAGCCATTTCAAATGGTTAGAGCACAGTAATTAGAGCAAAAACACTTAAGCACGCACGAATGACGTGGAAGCGTAACAGAGACTGGCTTGGCGTTGCTTGGGGACGCTGTGATGTTCTGCTAGTGAGAGGTAGTGTGCCGAGCCGAGAGTGTAGCTTGGCCAGAAGAGAGGGTGATGCGCCATAAAAAGTAGTCCATGACGATGCAAAAACTACGTTAAATTGAGTCATCAGGACGTTAAACGAATTATTGGTATCTAAAGAGTAGCGACTTTGTACCGAAACAATGTTAAGCAGGGCGACGTTATACGAGGACTTACTGTACTGTATACTGAAATATGTAACAAAAAGAGGGCAATGAAACACAGTTATTTGATCTTGGTTCAAACAATCTGAATTACTGTTAAAAAATGTCTTTAATATTAAAAAATCACACATGAATAGTCAAATAAGATATTTTACTTGACAGCAAAATTGTGAAATGGCTGAGGTTTGGTGGGAGATGTGGTTAGTTTTGACTTATGTACTAAAGCAAGTTTCAATAATATGCATCACTAACACGTGAAATGTAGAGGATTTTGAGCACTTTTGGCTTATTCTTCCTCTACTGTGGCTGGTGGAGGACTACTATCACTATTCCAAAACAGGCTTAACCCCAGCCACTGCATAATACTGTACTGAGTATCTACTTCAATTAAATTAATATTGTTCATCAGAACTTTAAAGAATTCATACAACTCACCATCTCTATAACTTTACTATCATCTAAAGTATTTTCTATATCCATATCTTGTAGTTTTTCTTTTGGTTGAGCCAAGAGTTTTTGGGTAGACTTCTGAAAGTCAGGGAGGAATGCTTGCACTTGATCCAGCAGTGGACTGCGGGCCACCTGGGGTAACAACACAATTGTATCAAATTCATAGCTATAATTGACCCCATAGAATTATTAACATACTATACTGTACTTACAGCAAATGTATGACGGTAATAATAAGTACAGTAGTACACAATATAAAAAACAAGTACCTGTATAAGAATGTAATCACTGTATAATTTTTATACACAACTCTGCATTACTTCCTTTTAATCCTTTCTAGAGTACAGTACTGTACAATACAGTACATGTGTAACATGTGATCACCAGAGTAAATTTAACAGAAAATGGATAATTGATCCTAAAATCACTGATAAGAGCCCCCAGCTGAGGCTGCTCTTATTTTATGTCATTTTTAGAATAACACACAAAGCCATGGTGTTGACCCCCACCCTTAAAGAATCTGCATGAATCTAGATTCACAAACTGAAAATGTATTAGTTCCAGCTCAGTAGACATGAACCCCAAGGAAGGTAAGGAGACTTCTATTTGGCTATGAGTTCCACTAGAAAAGGAACTGCCGCTTCCTGGGTCATTTCTTGGTCTTTCCCAACATTATAATGTGGGAGGGAAGCACACACTCTGCATACAAAAAGTACAATAGTAGCACATTAGAAGAAGCAGAAATTATTTGCTAAACACATTGTGGGAGAAGTAGGATGTAGAGAACAAGAAATACAGAAAGCAGACAACATGTGGAAATGAATCAAGTGTCAATCATAGAGGTGTCAAGGCTTTGTGAAGGTGGTATGGACATGCAGAACTACTGTAACTACTGAAAATATGTTAAGTAAATTATTTGTGGTTTGTATAAATTAGAGAGAGGGAGAGACCAAGAAGGAGATGAATGGACAGGAAGTACAGTAAGTCCTTGCTTAACGTTGTGCCAGACAACGTTGTTTCGTTATAACATTGCTAGATACCCATGACTCCTACAGTGTTGTTTTATGAACCCCACAATTCATTATAACATCTACCTAATGTTGTCACCCAGCACAAACTACTTTGTATGGCACGCCAAATATGGCCTCTCATGTCTTGCTGTGCTAGGCTCTCTCTCGCTGAGCATTAGTGTCCTCATGCATCTTCTTCCCTGTCTTTCTTAAGCTTCCACAGCATACAGATGTGTTTAAGTGTTTTTGCTGTACTGTAACCCATTGAAATGGCTCCCAAGAACCCATCAACTGGAAGTGATGCTAGTGTTGTGCAGACTAAATGCAAGACCATTAGCATTGCTAAGAAAATGGAAGTTTAAACCGTTTTGATAAAAGTGAATGTGCTGTGGACATTGGTGTAGCACTGGGCCTAACCCCCACAACAGTGTGTAATATCCGGACTAACACAGACAACATTAAGGCCCATCGGTGAGTATAATACAAAATTATTATTTTATCTTAATAATTAAACATTAATTTAATTTCTATAAAAATTCTACTGAATTTGTATACTGTAGTAATGTATTTAATGAGGCAAAAGGAGGATGAGGAATGTAACTAGCAATTTTATCTATTTTTCTTATGGGAATAATTGATTCCGTTAACGTTGTGATTTACAAGAATGTTACCATGACGTTAAGCAAGGACTTGGTATATTAGATGTGACGCAGGAAGCAACAGTACCGGTATACATTTATGTCTTTAACAAAAGCCGTTGAGTGGTTTATGGAGATGTCATAGCAGTTACAGTACTGTATGTGACTGAAGTTGAGTGAAAGGAAACTATTTGTTATTCATGATGGTCGCATTGCAACATAGTATGAAAAGACTTGTATGTACATAAATTGTTTCACCAAAGCCAAAACTTAGTTGTCTTACACATCACTACATGTGTATAATTACAAAGTACTGTACTGTAATCTCAGAAATACCAACCTTAAATGTTCTTGGTTTGTTATCTGAAGAAGTCTTGGGTGGGCCTCTCAGTAAAGACTTCACTACATTATGAGAACCTGAAATAAAAAGGTTTCTGTATTTTTCTTAGCGTGAATTTAAGCATTTCTTATTATATTTTAGGGTGTAATTCATGTTTCTAAACTAGGGATAACTTTATTCATTGTACAGGTACAGTTGTAAAGTCTCCAAGGAGACTTGGTGTATTTGTTCCACCACGTACAGTACTGTACAGTACCGTACTTGGTGAAACTAGAACACGGTAAGAGTATCAGGTAATAGATAGGATGACTTTATTAACGTATTTGGTGCCATTAGCCATAATTACTTCCTAGATACCCTGTGTACAAGTTTAAAAGCTTCTGTTTCCATTCTATATTCAAACCCACACCTGTAGAGTACCCATTACCTCACCATTTACCAATAACACTCCTTAACTAGTATTGTGTTGTACTGTACTGACATTAATGTGGTCAGTCTTCCTAATGCAGTGGTACTGTATATCCTTTGGCTGAGTGTATTTCATTCATAGGACCTTTTACCAAGATTGACATGATTTTTACAGAAAGCTACAAGCAAAGTATTGAAGTAAAGTATAACACTCCTCTCCGGGGTGAAGTAATTTTGAGGCCGAGACAACAATAAAGACTGTTTAATACATGGCAGCTGAGGCCAGAAATGAAATTTGTCAGATTTTAGGTAAAAGTTTTCATAGTTCACAAGTCTCTAGACAAGCCAACCATCTACAGACATATTACACAAATCCCTGAAACTGATTTTTTTTTTTATTCAGAAAACCTCGTCTTCAAATCATGGAAGATGAATGGAGTTCTTATTGAGTGTTCCTTACAAATTTTAATACAATTTAACATATGATATAAGTTACAGATCTTGAATAAATAACTCTCTTAAAACTGAAACCACAGTATTGTACATGTACGGGTAGTCGAAAATATTGACTACGTTAGTATAAAGGTAAAAGATTACTGAACCGTTTACAGAATCAGACAAGTACATTCAACTTACTCCCATCCCCCGTAACGGATAATAACTCCTTTGACGTTCTTTTACTATTCGATGAAGATTTTTTGGGCATATCCATCGTCTAAGTATTAATTTCACTTGTCAAATTCACCCAAATAACCTTAGTGGAGCACGTGAAGCAACAGTGAAGGGCTCTGGGGCTGTCTCAACATGTGTGGCTCAGTCTGTTTACATCACTTTATTCTGAGTTCATCATTAAATTAAATGTTTCAGTGGGAACTCCAAATACATAATTATAATTTATAATCGATATGTAATGCAAAATAAAAATACAGGTTTATAATTACTATTCATTTGCATGCGGTATTTTAATGTGATAGATATTACCCAAGTCCCGAGGCAGAGATTATTAATTTAGATTTTTAGTCCCTGGTAAAAAAATAGATGATTCTTATTACTTGTAAATTTTTATAACTAATTAAAATATATAATGTACTGTACTTATGAATTTGTGAAAAGAACCGTTGGATAAGAGTGGTTGTTTTGACAGGTAGCAGCTGAGCAAGGTCCTGTGATACTCTCGTCTCTCTCTCAGTCGTTGGATATAATGAAAGAGTAAATATATTGTCTGTTGTTTTATGTACGTGTGTTGAGTAAAATCCCTGACGCATTTTAGTTGAAATGATGGTGGAGTCAGGTCTGCTGGTCGCAACACTGAAGATAGGGAGTGTCAGCCAGGCTATTCTAGGTAGGAGGTGACATGGGGTCTGTTTCTTGCTGGGCACTTTAAATATTTTGGGGAAATTGTAAATATTTAGTAGTTGCCAACATCTTATATATTGAGTCTGGTATTATTGTATTTCCGCACCCAATATTCCTACCCCTAATCTATTATCATGTTCTAATAAGACGTCTAATTATTAGGTAACTTTCTTCAATTACATTACCGTCGCAAATGTATAATAACGGAGATAGCGTATCTAAATCTTTCTCTATTTTCTTCCATTAATCTTCCATTATCGCCTACCTCACCTCCCACTCTGCGTGTCTCCTTCATAAATCATCACGTTCCGTCGCGTATGCGTTCCCGTGCACGTCACACGGCCAATCAAAGAGTTCTCTTTTTTTGCGACCAATTAAAATGATTTGTGGTTTAATTTGCTGTATTTTTGGCCCAATCAAATTCGATTTTTATTTTGGATCTCATTTTTTTAAATTAAAATCATTTCCGACCATGGAAGTCTGCGATGGGTGTCATTTCAATTATATGGAGCTTATTGAGAGTTTTTGGGAAAAAACAATGAAACTATAGCACTTTTTCGATGTCATGGTGTTCTCCCGACCTCAGTAAAGTGGTGTAAGTGCAAGAACGAATGTAAATATTGTCAAGACCAACATATGTGGCATTGTGGTAACTCGAACGAGACCCAAGTCAATAAGGTAAGAAATTAGTGATTCCATCATATGGTGAGAGTCAGTTAGGTCAGGTTTATGTTTTTCTAGTGTTTCTTTTTGTGTATTTTGTATTCGCTTAGCCATTATTATTGTTTCGGAAAATGCCCCACCCAAAAAAATCGATAAAAAAAGGCCAATTTCCGACGGAAATGAAGGTCATAACCGATCTAAACACACATAAATACACTAGAAAAATATATTTTTGACTTTCTAACAGAGTTGGGTGCACTTATACAAATTTACCTTTGGTCTTATATGTATATGAATAAAGAAAAAATATTCTATAGCCTCTCTGTCGGAAATTTATATTTTTAAAGTATTTTAACCGATAAATTTACTATTATTTGTTCAAAGAAGATCTACAAAACAAGAGCGAGGCTAAATCTCAGAAGACATGCGTTCCCGAGTAGGGTTGTCAACAACTGGAATGGGTTACCTGAGTGGGTAGTGAATGTGGAGACGGTGGAAAAGTTTGAAGCAAAATTAGATAAATACTGGAAAAATCAAGAACAAGTATATATTTATAGGGCACAAATATCTGCCACACGCAGCCACCGTCTGAGTAGAGAAGAGGCTATTGAGCTGGAGTCACAGGCGTGAGCCTCTTCCAGAAGATCATCTGTGAGTAAAGTGGGCAGTGCTTTAAAGTAGATGGAAAATGTTGGGTAAAATAATAGAAAATAACACTAAACAAACCTTTCAAAACCTGACCTAATAAATATTTATCTTCTAGAATACAGTACTGTACAGTACTAGGTTAACAAAAGAGTTTATAGCATAGTGTAAATTACTTATGAATTTTTTTTTAGCGATATTCAACCTGTTTTATATGTCTCATTGTTTGCAGGTTCATGGTCACCCAGGATACTGTTACCATGCCTAAGGTGAAGAATATGAAAGCTAAGAAGAATAGAATTAAAAAGGCTAAAAAGAAAAAGCTTAAAAAGGGAATTGAGGTTAGTATATATTTTGCCTTCTTGATGATTCTCTCAGGAGCGGAGGTTGGAATCTTTCTTACGATTCACATTGGAGTTGTTGTTAAGGAGAACACTTTGAGAGTAATCTTCAAGGTTTAGCTGGTGTCATATCAAGTGGTGGAAACAAGAATGATTTATGCGAAAGTATAGTAGTATACTGTACTGTACTAAATTTATATGTGAAAAGGTTCCATGATTGTTGTCTCCTGAGAGTCAGCAGGTGATTCTTAAATGTCACTTAAGGGCATTGTAATTATGATAGCTATTTATCCTGCTTCCAAGATGATAAATCAGATTAGATCAAATGATTTGTTCAGCAATAATAGATAAGCTAGTATACTACAGGAATGGTTACTGCATTTCTCATGATATTGATATTTCTACTTTATAGAGTGGTCCTCAAATTTGCTTTCACAATGTGAATACATACCCACAATAATGCACATGGAGGGTTATTTAGACATTGTCTTCTTTCATGTTTGTGAAACTGTAAATTTTTTATGAGAAAATAAATTTTCTGCCAGCCTGCCCACCGGGGTAACTTATTAAGGGGTCCCTTCATTCATTTGGTTAGGCTCCAGTGGCCTGCCAGGGTTGATCTGTTAATTATCATCTAAACAATCGCCCTTCCTTCCACTCCTGTTCACTTTAAGTGAGCTGATTGCTCCTCCTTTTACCACTCACTGCACAACCCACCTCAAATGAAAATGGTTTATGTTGAGATTACCCTCCCTCTGTATCTAGTCACTGGTACCACCATACCTAAGCACTTTACTCTATTGTGCTGACTGCTGTGCTTTCAGTAAACAAACCCAATATGTTTGTATTTATAGAGGGCAGGGTCATTGGTGTGGTAGTCTCTGATTGGTTGAACACTTTTTCAGAATATTTTATCTGCCTTCTCCCCCTCCTCTCTTTCAAGGAGTGGTCAACCTCAGCTTAAGTCCCTCTCATTTGAGGTGGGCTGTACTGAGATGGAAGGAAGGGTGATCATTTGTACGATAAAGTCCTCATGAAACTATCCTGGCAGACCCTAAGAGTCCAATCATAAGAATTTAAGTGATCTTTAGTATATCACCTTGATTACAATGGGCCACCAGGCTACAGACTCTTATAAAAAAGAGTTCAGAATCAATTCTCATTATTATATTTTATTATTTTATTCTCATATTCAACAGAATCAGGAATCAGAGAGTGAGGGCGACAACTTAGATTTGTGTGTGAAACTTTACCCACTGTCACACCATGTGTCTGACCAAGATGAACTTGTCAATCAGATGTTTGCAACTATAAGAGGATCCAAACTAGAGGCAATGCTTCCACCAGTACTTAGGGTGAGTGTAAGCAAGTGGTTACATTGCATCAGGAGTTTCGGAGACAGAATATTTAGGCTTGTGGTAAATTAATGTTACAAAGTAAAATATAATTAAAATTAATGCAAATTTTATGTTTTTTAAGTGTGCATCATGTGACTAGTAAGGTGTATGGTAAGGGTTTCACTGAATCATGTGAAAAACATTAGAAAGATTGGAAGAGAAGTGCAGGAGATGCTTCAGGACAGAAACTCACTTATTAAGATGGATTGTGTATTAAAGTGTCATTTATAATCCTTTTGTGTATTTTGGTGTCCATCTGATACCCCATTTGGTTGTGAATGGAATATGGTTGGTTGATAAGATTAAGAGACAGCAAACAAAGATAAATTCTATCAATATATATTAAGTGCTATACAAGCAATTCCTTGCATTTAAAGTATGATTATTGACATTGGTTTTAGAGATATGATGCCAAGGTGTGGGTCATATATGTATACAGTATACCTGTATATACAAGTACAGTACTCCCTCTTTATCGACGGATTTTTTATCGACGGTTTCGATTATCGACGGATTATTTAGACGGATTTTTATTTTGGCTTTATTTGAACTCTGCGGGCCTTGTTTGTACTTTCGCCGCTAGGTGGCACTAGTGGCGTGACTAGCGTCTACCCGCGGCCCGCCTTCCCTGAACACAGACATCAGCCAAGCCGCGTGGGCAACAGTCTTTGATTTTCAACTTTTGCTGGTGGTTCATCACATCAACTTATATCACCATGCCTCCCAAACGACCTGCTGCTCCCTCTGGATCTACACCTAAGAGGGCAAGACGAGTGCTGACGCTGAATGAGAAGAATGAAGTGCTGAAACAACTCGACAGCGGTATGAGCTACGCAGCTGTTGGCCGCCGCTTTTAATAAGCCTCAATCATCACACTGGTATATACTGTACACTGTATTGTTTACTGTAAGGACCGATGTTCACTTCAATAAATGAAATCGTAAGTTTGCTAGTATTTTTGTCCACTTATTATATTATTATTTATACACTATTATTTAAGGTTATGTGTAAAGGAAACGCATTAATGCTTAAAGGTACATTTATTCAACATATGCTAATAATAGTTAGAAAAATTACGTAACCATCACGGTATCGACGGCCGTCTACAGAACGTAACCTCCGTCGATAAAGAGGGAGTACTGTATTGTACATTACAGAGGTATATATATATTCTTCAGGCTGTCTTTCTTGTGTTTCACATTTGGCCAGAATTTCTTAACCAGTGGAAACATACTACAGCATGCCCTTAAAATTCGCTGGGGTTTGGGTCTCAAAACGGCCATGAATCGCCAAATATCCACGAATATCGTTTGCTGACGGGGGGGGGGGGTTACATTTTTTACTCGTGTGCAAAGATATTCCCTTTATGTGCTTGCCCTTAGGAGAATTATTTCTTTTACCTGTATTGTATATATGTGTGTGTGTAAACACACACATGCACACAAAACACATACTAATAAATAATAATGGGAAAATCCTCTCACATATAATAATCAGAAACAAGACAACAAAATGTATCGAAATGTAAAAAAAATGTCAGTCTACCCTCAAGTCAACTTCATGCTTTGTTATTAACTTTAATAACAAAGCACGCAGTTGACTTGAGGGTAGACTTATTTTTGTGTGTGTGTGTGTATACACACACAGACACACAGCAACTTTAAAACTACCCGCAGGAATTCTTGGGTACATCCAGGGTGTCATCCGCGAATAATCAAGGACCGCGAATTAAAAATCTGCAAATTGTCAGGGCATGCTGTATTAATAAAACAATATGTTTTTCCATAAATTCAAGATGTCCCTTTTGGAGGTGAATTTCATCATTATCATCACTGTTTTGTGGCCAGTTTCCATACTTGTTTAGGTTAACCGCATTTACCTGATGGTAGCTCTCCATGAGGTAATTTCTTTCAACCTTTCTCCAAGTCATTCTTGGCCTACCCCTGGCTCTCCTTTCCACATTCAAACTCTTTCATCTCTTAAGCCTGTGGTTCTCCTCCATACTTTCCGCATGTTCAAACCATCTAAGCCTACTTTGATGCAAACTTTGCCAATACAGTACAGTATTCTCAATACTCTGTCACCCTCTTAGCTCTGAACATTGTCATATTTATATCCACACCACCATTTTCATATCAGCTTGCTCAAGCCTGTATATGTCATCCTCTTTAATTACCTACTGTATGTTTCACTGACATATATCATCATATTTCTCACGTTGGTTGCATACATCTTTCTTTTCACACACAGAGAGGATCCTCTTGCTATCATCAAAGACAGCAGCTCCCTAAACTTCCTCCAGCCACTCCTGAATCTTGCAACTGAGCTCTCTTCAGCACTTTCCTCACTATTTACTTTCACAGCGGTTCTTGGCCATCATACAATCCCATAACTACTTGAACAAAACACTCCTCAACCCCAATTTTCTCCTTGCATGCTGCACTACCTCACATGATACCCTGTCAAATGCTTCCACTTAGTCTACAAATAGAAAGTTCTGGTAACCCCTTCCCTAGATATTTCTCTTGAAGTTGCCTGGCCATAAATATTGCCTCTGTAGTCCCCCTATCTGGCATGAACCCAAAAGGTCCTGGACAATATATTTCTGTTAGTCAGTTTCACCAACCTCTTAGCCCAGTATTTACAAATTTACTTAAGTTACTCAGTTGTGTTTTTAGTGCAGGTGCCATGCTTGTATGTCCAGGTCTTTACTTAATTATGGAACACTACTTGTTGCTTTTTTAGCAGGTGGGTTAGTGACTGTTAAACACATCAGCAGTTCATTTTAAATATTACTGTACAACCTTCACATGACTTGTTTTACTATCCACAGGGCATTCCTGTCAAGGAGTTGAAGAAACTTTGCCTTCATGAACTGCGCGGTATGAGTAAGAAGCGTATTCTTTGTTGTATTAATGGTGAGTATTATTTCAACATAATATTTAGCCCATAGACCTCTCTGGCAACTTAAGTACAGTTAACATTCTGAAGGGACAAAAGTCCAGGTCTCAGGACACACCTCATGTATGATGTTTAAAAAAGCTTATTAATTCAGAAAATATTCTTAATTTATTAATCCTTTGTGACCGCAACTATAAGCTTAATAGGGTATGTATATATATATATATATATATATATATATATATATATATATATATATATATATATATATATATATATATATATATATATATATATATATATATATATATATATATATATATATATATATTGTGAAGCATCATTTACCACTAAGAGATGAAGGTTAGGCCACTTGACACTTACCACCATTGTAGAACTTATGCTCCACAATATTATTTGTTTCCTGATGAAAGATACATGGTGCCTCAGTATATTTTGCACTTGTCCCTGTTTCCAGTTTGGCCATTTAGTCAGGAAGAACTAACATTGTGTTTTTAATGTTAGTTGTAGCGTTGCAAGTGTTTTCATATGTTAACGTCCCAGTTGGAAGACTGCGGATGCGTTAGTTAGCATAGGCCTTTATAAAGACAATGTCACATGCCCTCCTCACAGGTATCATGTTTTATTGTCTGGCATGATGTAGTTAAGTCACAATATAAAGACTAAATTTCACTATCCTTTCACTAAACTAAAATGGTGACATTGATACTATGCATAACAAATACCTTACTTTATCAATAAAAGTCAACCTTTGAAATCTGACAGTTGCAAAAGGCTCCTCTCATCTTTTGAGGAGAATAAAAAATATTTTTAATTTTTCTCATGTATACATGTATGTGCAATTAAATACACAGCACCATTGAGTACTGTACCATACTTGAGACACTGTGAACCATAATCTGCTAAGTCCAAAAAAAAGAATGTGGAGGAAAATGCACTTAAAATTTTTTTTGCAAATTTAGCTGTTAGTCGTAAATACTGTGTGAAAAAGAATAAGTAAAAAGATTGTTTTGCAGTGAGGACTAATAACGGTTTAATCCAGAGCTCTCTGTTTACATCACATGATCAGTTGAATCGCGAATTTCTGTTGATTGCTCTGTGAAGGGTCCGTGATTTTCGCTGTTTTCTCCGATTTTGTTTTGTTAGCCATGAATATGAAAAGACAAGGTAAGAAGAATGTTTCAAAGAAGCGTTCTGGTGATTGAATTGCCGGTGCTGAACGCAAAAGAAAGGCTATAACACTATTGTTGGACGAAGCTTAAGTGCTAGCAAATCTGTGAGATCACGGCCAAAGTAATCTGCACCTAACCCTATTTTCTCCGTAAGCCCTGTTATTTTTATTGCGCGAACTTCTACAACGCGAGGTTTCACAAGAACGCATCTATCGCGTTGTAGCAGAAATGGCTGTATAATAAAAAAGGAAAAAATATAACTTTAATAAAAAAATATTTATTTCTAAAAAACAGTTTTTTGTGATAAAGGCCAGAATGCAACATCTAACTTTGTACAGTACATGCATATGTATATGCCTTGCATTAACTCGCCAGGCCAACTTACAGGCAATTAAAACATCTAATAATTACTAATATACGTAATATTAGGACACGTCACTACCTGGCATTTAATTACAATTCTCAAAACCCCCTCCCACACCTGCATCACTGCTGTCTTGCCCCAGAGCGACTCGGTAATAAACAAATGTGAACTCTCGAGGGGTGGAGATGGGTGGGTTGTCGACGTCACATTCTGGTCTTTATCACAAAAACTTTTTTTTTTTAGAAAAAAACGGCTTTTTGTTCAATCCAGATTGCGACGTCTAGCTTTGATTACCCGAGCAGGAGGTGGAGAGGGAGGTGACATTGCGTATAAGGCTCCGCTAGCTTAGGTCCAGATAATAATTATTAACTTTTTGGAATATTTTCCTTGAAAGGAAACATTTACCGGAAAGTAAAATTATAAGCTACATATCCCATGTCAGGATTCTCACTTTATTCTGATGAGGAAGAAGGTCCTGGTTATGGAGATGGACGAGGGGACCAAGGACAACCACATGTGGAACATCTTTAAGAGATAGATGAAGATAGCTGTTTTCAAAGGTTTTGAAGATTTTCAAAAGCCCACTTTTTTTATCTGACTGAGGCTCATATGCCACAGGAAGGCCACAGACCCTGCATATTTCCTGGTGTCATTTGCCAAAAACTTCTTGCCGGGGTCTGCTTGACACACCAACGGAGATAAATATTTTGTCATTTGACTAGGAGACAATTTCTTACCATCCTATGATGAGAATACATAGGGGCCTTGATTAGGAAATCTGGTTAACCACTCTTGAAGGTTCTTAACTGGGCACAACATATGAGGAACCCTTGTCTCATCCATGAGCCGTTTTATCCAGATAGGTTGAGCTTGAAAATCCTCCCTTTCATTTTTTCTTAGAAACTCTATAGGAAATAAAGTGACATCTTCCTCAGAAAATACCAATTACGATGGATTATTGGAAATTGAAATCAGTACCTGGTCTAGACATCCTTGTTGCAATTGTAGTGGATGTGGGCTCCATTCTAACAGAGCCAGTGTGGTGCAATTAAGAGGATATTTCCCTGGAAGGATCTGAGTTTGTGAACCACTTTGGATAACATTTTCACAGGTGGGAACAGATAGATTGAATTCCAAAAGTTCCAATCTAGGAGTAAAGCATTTCCCAGAAGATTCGATCGTTCAAGAGAAACATAAATTGGCAGCTTGTGATTGTTTTGTGAGGCAAAGAGATCTCTTTGTGGAGTCCCAAACCTCCTCGCTAGACTCTTGAACTGCGATGGCTTCAGGGACCATTCTGTTTCCTTCGACACTGGCCTGAGACGGGACAATGCATCTGCCCAATTGTTTTGTACTCCTGGTATGTGAGTTACCTTGAGGTATAGTAGTCGTGTTACACAAACCTTGAAAATTTTTTCTGTCAGTGTGAGAAGAATCCAAGATCTGTTTGAGCCTTGATGATAGAGACAAAACACTGTCACTCTGTTGTCCATGGCAAACAGAATCGTCATGTTTTCGAAGTTTGGGTTCGCCAACAAAAAGAATAAGACTACTGCTAATTCTTTGATGTTTATGTGTTGCTCCTGAAGGGAGATGTTCCACTTCCCTTGGTGGAACTCTCCTTTTGATGAATGGTATCCCCATCCTATGTAGGATGCGTCCGTACAAATGACCAAGTCTGTTTGAGGGGAACCCAGGGTGTTTAAGGGAACTGCTGTGCTGGAAAAATTCAGAGACCCAATAGCTTTTCCCAATCGTGCCAAGAAACCTCTTGCTTTACACGGAAAGCCTCTACTTAGGTTATCACATCTATTATCTTTGCTTCTGGTAGACTGACTGACTGACTGGTGTCCCATTGCAGACCTAACCAATCCAATTTCTGATATGGTAGGAGATTTGATTTGACCCAGTTTATCCTAGGTTCTGAAACACTACTAGCGTATATTGGGTCGCCCTTTGACAATCTTCGAAAGAGTTTCTCACTATCAGCCAATCGTCTAGATAAGCAAAAATTCTTATGCCCTCCGCTGCGAGGATCTCCCTGGGGATGTTTGCCAGTTTTATAAACACTTTTGGCTCAATTGTCAGACTGAATGGCATCGCTGTGAATTGATAACTTACATCCCCCACTGCAAACACTAGAAACTTTCTGTATCTGGGAGCAATAGGCACATGATAATAGGCATCCTCCAGATCCACCTTTGAGATCCAAGCATTGGGCGGAAGTAGATGCCTCAGATGATTGTAAGTGAGCATCTTGAAACTTCTTTGGGTAATGAACTTGTTCAGGACGGACAGATCTAAGGTCCACCTCAACTTGTCGCTGCCTTTCTTGGGGGCTGGGAACAGGCGGGACATGAAACACTTCTCTGACTGCAACAGTTCTATCACACCTCTGTTTAATAGTTGAGATACATATTCTGTGAGTAAGGGGGTTGGTTTCTGACCCCTTTTTGGTAACACTACCGCAAACACAAAATCCGAGTGACATCGCCAAAACTAAAGCCGCTCAATTTTCTCACCATGTCAAAATGTATAACTGCTGAAGGCAAATTCCTCGTGGCACTTAATATTCCAGCTATCACAACACAAAATAGTGAAAGTGTATTTACTGCTGAGTCACCAGGCAAGAGATGACAGCACTGATGCGTGTGCTGGAGGGGGTTTACGTATTTTAGTAATTATTAGATGTTTTAATTGCCAGTATGTTGGCCTGGCAAGTTGATGCAAGGCATATACATATGCAGGTTCAAAGCTAGATGTTGCATTCTGGATTGAACAAAAATTACAGTACAGTAGGCTCTTGCCAATAACGTTTAATAGGTGCCTGAAAAACGCCGTTATTAGCGAAAACGTTATTTGTGTGATATTAAAATACATGTAAAAAGGGTTTATTGGTGCTGCCTCCCCACGAATTTCACTCAATATTTCCCCTTAGAAGCCCTCCTAACACTTTTTGTTCGCTGAAATAAAAAGAATTGTTATTCAATCATCAAAATAAAGAGTTTGAGTAATATAACACATAGCTTGGGGGAGTTTTTGAGGTGCTTGGTGTGATGATTGTTCTGTATCTGAGGGCCGCTAAGACTTGCACTGTCTTTCATTCTACAAGCTAACCATTTCACAAGAAAATGCTCTGTTATCACTAACAACCTGTTTCTATCACTTTTATCATTCATAGCTCGCCTCGCATTTCCATCACGACCGAAATATTTCTTAGCCAGCGCAATACTCTTCTTGGTCTCCTCTAAGTTCCTCTTAATATTTCGCACTGTAGACTCGGGACAGTTCAATTTCCTCACAATATCAATGTTCCGTGCACCACTTTCAATGAGCTCAACAATCTGTTCTTTATCCTTGACCGAGTAGGCACACTTCTTGTGGCTTTGTCTCTTAGCTTTGGGGTCTTTTTTCTCATTCACTTTAAAAGTTCCCGGGCGTTCAGGCGGCAAATCACTCCCTCTACCACCTCCCCTAACCCCCACAGGCAAAAATGCGGAAGCCATTGTTGATCACCGACCCTAGCAACCACTGGTTATAGAGGCGAAAATCTCACACGTGGGCGCAGCGCTGTATTCCACGGAGCGTGTGTAAGAGTGAGGGTGAGGCGGAGCGGACAACTACGTCAACAACATGGTGGCAAACAAACGCTATCATTGATGCACACGGACACTTCCCGCAAAATCTCCATTATTCAACTGAATCCAGACGTTATTATTGAAAATGGGTATCTATTGTAACTTACCGTTATTGTGTAAGTCGTTATTGGCAAGAGCCTACTGTAATGTGATTTTCAACAAAATCTAATTTTGGGCCAAAACTGTCGAAAATGCAAGTCTTACACCTTAGTAATTTTTCGACCAAAATATACTTTTCTCTCAGAATTAAAATTTAAGGGGTTTAACTAATTACTTACTTACAGAATAACACATTAACACCAAAATCGCACTTACAAAACCCATAATTGGAGATAAATTAGCATTGAAAAATGTCGTTAAATTTTCCAAGCGTACGGTAATTACAAACACTAATTTCCCCGCAGTCGAATCGTGGACCTCATATTCGAAATCACCATGCTCAGGAGTCCCTATATTGTACTGTTTTTTAGTCAATACTGCTATGGTTTCAAAAATAGCAGTATTGACTATAAAACATATAATATTATGTTTTTAAGTAAGATAACTTTATTAAGAATATTCAGAACTGTATTACTAAACACATGAATAAAAAGGAAATGGATTTGTATAAATTTAATAAAATCAATATCCACCCTTCTTTGATGCGCTGGGCACATATCTGACTCGGTGTGACATTTCCACAGCATCCACGAGGTAGTCATGGTTACTGTGTTTTTTTAATGTGGTTTCCCATGAGGCCTAATCCACATTAATATTCTTTATCTGAAAAAAGGGGAATTATTATGAAAATTATTAGACTTTCACTTGGCAACATTTTTCTCCCATTAATCATTGTTCTTATCCCATTTTTTTACCCCGAAGTATTAAGCGCTTCACTATCACAAGAATCAGCCATTTTGGCTACAACAATTAATTGCAGAAATAAGGCAGAATAGAGGCAATAAACCAGGCATGTATCAGAGGCATACTCGCTGAAACTACGGCGAGGACTGGTACAACATAATAGTCTTTGCAGAGGACTCACTCACATGTACAGGTTCCCAATTTGCCTGCTAACTTACGTAGGGGACAGAGGAGGGGTTAGGGAATGCAATGCAGTTTCTGGTACAGAGCACCTCATTCCTAAGGTGCCATCTTGATTAGTGCCCATATTTCATTGCAGTTGGGCTTACGTCATGTCTGGGTTTCCATTACCATTCTGCCTATTGATGTTCAGTTTCTTGTTATTATTATTTTAATGTGATGAGTAATAACCCATTTACTTTATAATGTTGGCTTCTGCAAGGATTTTGGTTTACCTGAGAAAGAGTGTGGGCCTATGAGTCTCGTGACAATTATACCATCGTTCGTTGGAAAGCACTGAACATCCTTATTATATTTTATATGCAGGTCAAATGATGGAAGGTTCATCTGGTAGTGATGAGGATGAAGAAGAGGACAAAGAGGAGCAGGACAAAGCTGCCAGGGAAGAAGTAAAATCCCAAGAGAATAACACTAAGTGAGTACAGAAAAAATCTGGTTTATAAGAGTGACACATTTACTGTGATGCAAGTTTAGTGTACAGTAATATTGTAGAGGTGTGAGAGGAAAGGAAGTACAGTAGTATCTAAAGAAGAAGGGATGGACTTGTTAGATGGTACCATGAACATGTGATGTGTTTGAGAGGTATAGTACCATGAGCATGTGTTGGAGGAAGTGTTTGAGAGGTATGGTACCAATGAGCATTTTGGGTTACGAAATTCCCTTGAGGTCTAAGGCAAGAAGTGAACCAAGGTTACACTGTGTTTAGTGCCATTCAATAAGAAACTACTTATCAGGCTAATTTGATGATATCATTGACACCAGTGATAACCAACATAAACCTCAAAACTGTTATCTGAGCTTTGTTTACCAAGGTAAAGAAAAAACGGTACAGTAGATCCATATGTTTTGTGGATTTTCAGTTTGTAATCTGCCAGTCTGTAGCCAATTTCAATTGTGTAACGATATCAAATTAACAAGGGTTCAGTGTACGGAGATTCTTTGGCATCTTGGAGGAAATTTATTATCAATATTTTCCCTCCATGGATTAACTGGATCTTGTTCAGATTAGTATTAAAGTATGAATGTGTCAAGATGCACAATGACTATGAAAGAAAGAGAAAAGGTTATGTAGGGAATGTGATGCTGAGAGGAGATATTACTGCACAGCAGTGTTTATCATATCTCTTATACAGAATATAAAAAGAAATGTTTACTCTTCCTATTTGTACTTTATGAATATCATGTCACTCCTTTTATTTTTAGCATAATAAATTATTAATTTTAACACCTGAGAATGTAGAAAATGGCTGTAAAACAATGTTGGTGGTGGTGATTTAGAAAAAGGATTGTTATATGTGTGTTGCCACCAGAACCCAAATATTTCATGTTCTGGGGGTAATCTTGCTTCAGAATATTGGTAGAAAGCTTTGTTGTTTAATTAATGTGTCTGTATTTCTATTGTAGGGGAGACAAGAGGAAGTCCATCAGTGAACATATACCTGAAGGATTTCTACAAAAGAAAATAAAAGTGGAACCAGGACTAGAAGACACAAGTGGTCAAGGTCATGATACTGGCAAGAGTGTCTTGGAACTTCTGGAGTTAGAGATGAGAGCACGAATCATAAAGACAATGCTGGAGAAGGGTGATGAGGGGAAGAAAATTGCCGAGGATGCAATAGCAGCAGTTATGCAGAGTGCAAAACAGATAACAAAAGATGATAATCAGATGAGTCGTGAGAAGGAGACAAAAGCAGTAGAGGCTGAATCAAAGGTTGCTGTGGTGCCTCAGCAACAAAAGATCACAGGGGAGGCGATAAGTAATGAAGAGAGGAGAGGTGACAGGCCCAATGGGAGCAAAGATGGAAGGACTAGTCACAGGAGACATACCGGTAGATCAAGAGATGATGGTAGTAGAAAGAGCAGCAGAAGAAAAGTACGAGACAGAAGAGAGAGAAGCAACAGTGTTGTTAGTGATTATGGTGAACACAAGAAGAAACCAAAGGGAGGTGCTAATTATGATAGACACATACAAAAGAAAAAGAAAATTACACGGAAAGAATTTGAGGAACGGATGAAACGTGCCAAGAAAAATAGGACCTACCGTCAGCGCAAGACTTCTGAAGATGAAGAAAAAGCAAAAGAGAACAAACAGGAACATTGGAAAGAGCCAAATATTGGTGAGGGTGAGGCTATGAAAGAAAATTCTGCAGATGGAGGAAAGGATGTTCAGAACAAACCTGCTGAGGAACCCAGTGGAGAGGTTTCAGAGAAGGAGGAAGGTGAGCTTGATAGTAATGAGGAAGAGGAGGGAGCCTGTACTCCAAGTGATATTTCAAGTGCAAGTAACTATTATTCTTCCTCTCCAAGTAGCAGGAAAAGAAGTTACAGCAGCAGAAGCAGGTCTAAGAGCTTTAGCAAGAGCCGCTCAAGAAGTCCAGGAAGGAGGAAGAGGAGGAGTAGTTACACACGAAGTCGAACAAGGTCTAGGAGCTTGGAATGGAAAAACAAAAATGAAGGGAAGCAAAATTATGAAAGAATAAATAAGGAGCCAGTTAGAAATGATAACATTAGCAAGAAAGTTATTTCAAAAGCATCATTAGTAAATCCAAAAGAAAACAAAGAGGAAGAAGAAAACTGGGGACAGAAGTGTGATATTGAATTTGTTGATTCTGAAGAAGACTTTGATGATAATCCTGACATTACCAAGGAACCAGCAAGTCAGACACGCATGCCAGCAAACACAGGTCATATAATAGAACGAGCTAGCATTAGCTTCTCTCTACAGAAGAAGTCGGCACCGAACATAACTCCGAGTATAGATCTGGATGACTTACCATTGAAACAGAATAGAAAAAATAATGTCAGTAATAATTTTACATCAGATAGCTGTATTTCATTGACAGAAACATGCAAATCTCCTAATAAAGCAATGGAAGAAATTGTTATTAGCTCAGACAGTGAGTCAGAAAAGCAGAAGAATGTGTCATTGGTAACATCAAGGAGAAAGAAAAAAGTGACTCCTAATTCTAAGCAAGCAATTCTAGAACAAAGTAATTTACTGCTCAGTAAGGAAGAAGCCACAAAATCTGTGGCAGAAGTTGTCAAGAAACCAGCAGAAAGGAAACAGGAGACAGGTGAACCATATCCTGAATGCCTTACAACAGAAAGACAAATCCAGAGTATGGATAATAATGATCCTTTGACAGAGCTGAATAATGATAGTGCTGTAGAACAAAGAGAAATAAAGAAACAAAAAGTGGAACAAAGACCAGATGAAATTGAAACAGACATAAAAAATAAGTGCAAAGATGATAGCACTTCTCATCACACAGCAGTACAACAGCTTGGAATGCACAGTGTTGATGAGGTTCATGTAAAGACCAGGCTGGAAGACAAATCTGCTCTGAATTTACTGGAAAAAAATAATGGTAATGATACTGAGACACCAGAAAATGTGGCCAGCCAATTATCAGGACCTAATAATGTGGATTCCTCTAAAAAAAATATATCTTCAAATGATCATAATGTTATCAGTAATAATGATCAGAAAATGAGAAAATGTGACAATATACTTGCAAACCAAGTACATATGGTGAGCATTCAGAGTTGCTTATCAGATCCACCAATTGAGTTATCACATAGTATTTCAAAATTAATCAGTAAGGGGAACCATGACTCCGTCAATAAAAAGAGCATATCAGAGAATAAGAATTTAATTGGTACTCAGGACATGGCTTCAGGAACATTTGAAAGAACTAAAGAACTGAGTAATGAGTCTTGCAAAGAAAATGCAGTAGTAGAAGAGAATAAAGACAGTCAAGATGCTCACAAGAAACCTAAAATCAATAAAGGTGATCTTTGGGAATCCAGAGATCAGAAAGATCATGAAGAATCCAAAACTAGTGAAGATGATCATGAAGAATCTTCTAAGCAAGAAGTTCAACCAGAAACAAAAGAAAGTAGTATGAGAACTTTAGTAATGGAAAGGGATTTAACTAAAGCTGATAGTCATGCCAAGATACATGAGGAAAAAATGGTGGAGCAATCATTAGAGACTGACTGTCCAGCTGAAAAGTGCATAGAAAGAACAGAGGTGGTAAAGGAGATGGATAATGGTAATAGGGATACACCAGAGGAATGTTTACAGAAAGAGAATAATAACTTTTCAATCATTGAGGAAGAGGTTGGTGAAAAGGAGAAAACAAGTACAAACACTAAAGTCAAAGAAGTTGATAGCAAAATTGGAGAACAGACAGAACAAGAGTTTTATAGAGGGGCAGAGCAGCTAACAGTTAATATAGATGAAAAAGATGATGATCCCAGTGTTGAGGAATTCACGGGAGATTACAGTCCTGTTGAACCGATTAGGATAGACACTGGGCTCATTCGCAAGTCAGTTGTGCGTCAACAAAGGGTGAATTTGGTGATGCCAGATAAATCTTGGACTAAAAGAGAGAGAAAGAAGAAAGAAAAGTCCAGAGATACCCTTGTTATGGAGGGCATTGGATTCTTAAAAAATACTCTGTCTGAGAGTTCACAAAGAGAAAATGAGGGAGTAACACCGAAGACAAATAAGTCAGATGAAAAAATTGAATTGGAGGAAACATTGAGCAGTAGTGTTGCATCTGCAAGTGAGACAGATAATTCAATACTGGCTGATGATAATACACCCACTAATTCCACCATACACAGTCCTAAGATAGCTCGGGAACAAGAAACTACTGCTCCTTCCCCCGAGGCTGTAAGTTATGAAGATTATGAACCCAAATCATATGAGAAAAGTCAGAAGAGAATTGTTCAAGAAACTGAAATTATTGGAGTTATAGAAACCAGTAAGGATTCAAGTTCAGACAATTTTGACGATAGTGACTTAGGGGGATCAAGCTGGAGTATGAGGTGGCTGCAGAGTGAAAAGGTTCAGAAGGTTGTTACAAGCAGTAAAATGTTGAGTCGTGTACGAAAGCAGATCCAGAAGAAAGACAAAGCTACCAAAGTTGTGACAGCAGAGAAGACTGAAGAGCCTCAGAAGAAGACAACAGAACCTCTGGTTCCAGTCATTGGCAGTATTGAGGAGTATGAGCGTTTGTTTGGGATGAATGTCAAGAAGGATCAAGCCAAAGCATCAGACTCATCTGGTACATCTCCTCCGGGAATGACAGGGCCAGGAGAACAACCTGACCAACCGTCTTTTGCACAAGAAAGTACTCAGGGGCCAAGCACATCTGCCCCATCTTTTGGATCAGATGATGAAGGTGAAGACAGTGAGGAGGAAGCTCTTTGGACAAAGATCTTAGGGAAATGATGGACAAAACTTTATATTGACACATCAAAAATATTCTCTTCAGAAATCACAGATCAACGTACTGTACGTTATAATTCTTAGATATTTTTAATTTATGAACTTGAGAAACCAAAAAGTATAACCATTTGAATTTATGAATACCATAGTAATAATACAGAATAATGTAAATATTTTGTTGATTAAAGGCTTCGGAGAAGCTATATTTTTACTAACACGCTATACCTTTGCATTATGCTTTGTTGGATTGCTATTTTCTTTGCTTTTACTGTATTGTAAAAAGATAGCCTATATCAATCTGTGATGGTAAGTGTTCATATAATTTTTTAATTCTCTTTACTCCAGAAAACTAATTAACATATATTTTTAGTGGATGAGTGAGGTAGTTGTAGAGGGTAACTGATGTAGATGGATGTACAGTCTCATTCAAGATTCTTCGAATACTGCTGGCAACTCAAGGCCGTTTGTTTGCTATTGTACGTAGTAAAAATTATGAATAAATGTAAAAGTGATCAGTGATTGGTTACTTAGTTCCCCATTGCTTAATTAATGGTTGGGCTTTGTTGTTTCATATTACTGTATATTATACTACGTACTATAGCAAACAAACGGCCTCGAGTTGCCAGCAGTGTTCGAAGAATCTTGAACGAGACTGTACATAGTGGATAAGTAGGTGTGGAAGAACTGATTTGAAGGATATAAAAATAGGTGGTGGATGAACAGAACCTATTTGATGGCATAAGAGGCATCTCACTCTCTCTCTCTCTCTCTCTCTCACAGAACTGGCTAGGAAGAAAATTCAAAATAATTTATGACTATTGAGAAATACAAAATAATAATGCCATGTGCAGAACACTTTTACCAGAGCCAATATTTCAGCCTGTTGGCAGAAACTCAGAAAGCCACACAAAAGAACTGTCAGTACCACCATTTTCAAAACACTTAAACAAATGATAAATTGCCTTGAGTCTGAACTACTGCCTCCTAGACTGCAGTTGATCAGGTTCAAGGTGACTAATGGAGCAATAGAACTTGCGTGTCATGAATTGTGTATGTAGAAGCCACTGGCCTATGCTTAACAGACAACACACAGCAGCACTTCTCCTATGTGACATCATGGCATACATGTGTCTTGAGTCAGCATGGTGACTGCCTGGATGAACTGTCACATGTATACTGCTCCAGTAAATGTGAAGAATAAATCAAAATAATTATAATAAATAAAAAAGAAAAAATACTGCATTACTATTTGACAATCATTTCACGGAACATACAGAACAGCTGCTCCCCCTTCCACTTCCTGGTCCCCCTCCCCTGCTATATATATATATATATATATATATATATATATATATATATATATATATATATATATATATATATATATATATATATATATATATATATATATATATATACAGTATATATATATATAGTACAGTAGTATTATAAAAGTTCACCATGCTGTATAGAAATAATTGTCACTGTACTGTACGCGTATCTGTGACTTACAATAAAAAAAATACCAGCAATTTTATCATATTAAAATTTACTAACTAATGTAACTAAGAGGCATTACAGATATAAATACAAAATGTAAACACATTTTTATAATAATTTTACCCACTGCTCAGATCTGCTTCATATGAAAGTTATGCTAATGCTAACTACTGTACATGGGCACAAAATAAAATGTCTGCCATCTATAAACTCACATGATAAAGATTTAGAAAAAACAACAATATTAGTGTACAGAAGGCATACTGAAATATGTAAAATACTAGTTAAATGCTGTATATACAGTTCAGTACTTAGTAACCTAACTGTGAAAAGCTAAATCTACATATCAATAAATCTTTTGTGATATGTTATACTGTACTGTGTGTACTGTATTAGCAAGATGTGTGTGTCACTCTAAGAAAGATCATGAATACAGTAGACCCGATATAATGCAATTTGATACAACAATTTCAATACAGTTGTACCCCGATTTACGCGGTCAATTGAACCCACAGGGTACCGCGGAAAGTGAAAACCGCGTAAAGTGAATAACAGAACATATGGGATTAATTCCAATAGAGACTGGCCCGACCCCCAAACTCCACTTTTTCCGACACAATACCTATGTTGTAGTAAAAATAACATCTAAATTTTATGATGGTATGCTCACACAATTAATATTTAAGAGAAATACAGTCGCCAGGTTAATGTCCATTCAAATAATGGACTCAAATCCCCCCCCTCTTCCCAGCTCACTAGCCCCTACCTCTGAGAAATGTGTGGGTGAAACCATTAGATTTTAACGTTTCGTAATAAATAATACCTCAGACTAAAGTTAGGATAATATAATTGACATTTCTGGATTCCTTGCAGGTCAGGGAATATTTTTAATGTAAACTTCATATATTTTGCACAAAAGATAAAATATTTGCTTTGTGTAAACCAACTTATTACATTAGATCTAAAATTTGTATGTCTAATGCAAAATCCATGATGTTTATATTCAAAATGATCATCATATTGTAAGAATTCCAGCAATGTAAATTATATTCTGGCCGGGTAATTTGTATGAATTTTATGAGCTAAATAAAAATAAAAAAAATTATACTTCACCGCGTATATGAGTAGATGCACCCCGGAAAGTGAAAGTCCGGTTCTGGCAAGGTACCGCGTCAATGAGAAATCGTAAATGAGAAATCGCGGAAAGTGAAACCGTGTAAAGCGGGTAATACAACATGACACCATAATCCCATTATCATAATTACACAGTATAAGCCCAAAGTTCATCACAAAACAAAAACAAAAATATGAAGAAATGTCAGAACTGGTGATAAATGTTGAGATTCACTTTGAAGCTTTTTTTGATTGTTTTCAATAAAACAAAAATCAGACAAAAAATATGAAAATGTTAAAAATGGTGTGAAACATCCAGAAATGTCAAGATTTAGTTCAAATGAGAGTTAATGAAAACAGTTGGGGGACAAAAAGAAAAAAAACTGACCAAAAATAAAGCATCAGAAATCACATCCACAGCTTTTTCCCGCCTTTTCAAAATGCCCTGATATATCCATTTTCACATTTAAACTAACACTTACGGTAGTTTGCCTCTTCTGTACATGACAACATTCCTATTGTACTGTACCGTATACTTGTTCACTGTTTTAAGTTTCTGTGCTCATGTGAATTTGATATTATTAGAGGCAATTTGGGGTAAAAAGAATTTGCATTTTGATAGTCCAGTTATTTAACATTATTTTAGATAATAACAGGTCTGCTTACCAATTATGAACATATTTAGTTTGAATAAATGAGCAGCTACACGAACATTTTCTATGAACCAATCAGCTATTTTTATAGAAAAGGGGCGTGGCTTATGTGCCAGGTTAGCGTGGAAATACTATACAGTAGTTCATATTCTGTTGCCATTGTACCAGGTTGTTTCCTTGCTCGCTACTGTTTTTGCATAAAGTTTGTGATGTGCATTACTGTACCAGGACACAATTAGTCAAGAATACAGTGTTAAGATGTAAAACAGTGATTATGTTATGTACTGTATACTGTACTGTACATTCTGTAAATGTGTAAGTATAGTACGTACATACAATACTGTACAACAGAGCGGACAATGTATGTCTACTGTGGGTTAGTGTGTAGAGGTGTATGTATAGTTTACAGTGTGTATACAACCCCTCCTTTATGGACTTAGATGGTACAGAACAAAGGCAGGCCATCATGTATCATTATACTGTATCACCATTTGGCCTGCCTGCATCACAAGCCCAAGACGACAGCATCTGCTGGTGAGTACAGTATATTGTATACAGTACTGTATTATATTTTGTTTAGTTACAATATTTTGTATGTGTACAATGATGTTTGCATAAATAAATACAGTTCTGTGAGATGCATAGTTTAGACTCTTGGAAAACTTTCCCCAGTACAGTACTCGATTTTTTCCGGGGAAGAGAATCTTCGTTTCAATATAGTACCTGGAGATCTCTCATTTCGAAAGAGCTCTGTACAAATTATTCTAGCTAACGGGGATATTACTGTGCTGCAATTCGATTTTACTCAATACAGTAATTTTCAAGTTATGTTGGGGTCTACTAGATTAATATATGTAATATAAGCATTTACATCAATATTCTTAGTAATTGATTTGCATCATAACATAAATGGATCTGTTTGAACATGATTGTCTTTACATACACACAACTGTGTGAGGGCAAAAGGAAAATGTTTGAGTTATAAATTGTAAAAAAAAATACTACATTATTAACATGAGATAAACCAAGATAATAAATTTATGTTTTCCTAGCATGAAAGCATGATGTTTGTTTCTTCATGAGGATTAATTTTTTAGTGTTAGCACTCAACCCCAACCCTTCTTAGATGTTAGCTGTCTCTTACAACATAGGGAATGCAAATTACATCCTCCAATATTCATATTAAGGAAAAATATATCTGCGTTGGTTTACTGTGAACCATGTTACAATAGTTCCACCCTATTTAGGTGGAAGTTGAGTAAAATTGAATGATAGATAACATACAGGTGTACTTGAATACACTGCGGAGTGCAAAGGCTACAGTACTGTACAGTACAGTATATAATTTGTAGTACAGTACTGTACTCTATTATGATAAATATATTAGGTATTAGATGAATGAAAGAGGTTTTCTTATAATACAGTAATTCCTCACAGTTTCAAAGTAAGTTTGGGAAAGGCAGGTCCAAAAACTTAAACACACTAAATTTATGGAGCGCTCCCTATTCAAATCCATTTAATATGAGACTAGGCTATTCATGCTCGCTCTTTGTGTAGAAGCCTTTCCTAGAGTGCTAAGGTAATGCAAAACTATAAACACTACACAATATGACTGTACAGAGATGACACAAGGACAACACATGGCAGGACAGGTCACTTGAATGGAAAAGCAGTGGCGGGGGGCATCACCACACTACATGTTACTTGTATAAGGTCACTGTGTTGGTAGATGGAGGTGGGTAATTACCCTACATTATGCACTCACGTGAGGTAACCAAGTGGGCACATGAAGGCAGGCAGCAATATTGCAACAAACTACTTATATGAGGCAACAATAGTGTCCTGTGCCTTTGAAATTTTAGAACATTTACAAAAAAGTCTGAAATTGTGAGGGGCTTAATGTATAACATAAATAAAATTTTTAAAAAAGTCTATCAACTTTACCATACTAAATACACTGAAACAAACACACCAAGAAACTTGACTCTTAAGTGTATGAGTTCACTCGCCTATAGTTGAACATGCAACATAACCCTGAATATCCTTTTTTCCCAGGTTAAAATTATTGGATCAAGACCTTTTATCAAACTCATCCAAGGACTTTAGGAGCCCAATATTTTTTTTATGTTTCTAGAAAATCCCTCTACCCCATATATAAAAAGATATGTCATGAACAAACTGGGGATATAATAACAATAATTAATTGTTGCTTCAAAAGTGAAATACTGAATTGAATTTCTACTTTGTCTAAAGATATATACACCATGTTTGTTCCAAGACATCAGCAGATATTTTACTCCTGTTCCTAACCCAGTACAGTAGTAGTTCCAACTTTAAGGGGATTCAAAAACTGTCAAAAACAGAACAACATTAAGAATAAATATCAAATCAAGAAACATAAAAGGCACTGTACCTTTGGAATGGATTTATTCATTGTTCTTAAGGGACTTAACCACATCCCAATCAATTCTTTTAAGGAATTTTGATTACAATGCTGAAAATATATGAGACTCAAAATTCAGTCTTTGGTGCAATACAGTACATCATTTTCCAGTTTAGTGTAGTCATTCTGTCAGATACATGAATATCTATATACTTCACCATCATACACCATGGCAAAACTGTGGTCTACTCCATCAATCTTGATACCTCAAATCCCATCCATCTTTTACTCTCCTCTTCTTCTCTTACTCACCATAGCCAGCTCTGCTGACTTAGCTCATGAGATGAATGTCTCAATGCTGCCTGTGGTACCCACTTTATACCTACTACCAATCCTGACAATGATGTACCTGCCACCTTTTGTCCTTCAGAATCCTCTTTCTTTGGTGCCTATCCCTCCCAGGTGTCCACTAAGATCTGTTTTAGCCATCACTCCTCCTGTAGTACCATCCTCTCTGTGGCCATCTTTGCTTGAATCTTCTGCCCCAGATGTCCTTCCTTCTACTAAGTGGTTGAATACCAGGTTACTTACTACTGGTAATTCTATTTGGGTTGTTTTTGTTTCTCCAAAAAAGAGAACTATGAGGGGCATAAATGAGTTAACCATTTCCAAGATTACAAAGGATATACAGTACTTGATGTGTGTAGTTTTACACAATATTCCCTTTCAATTTTTCAAAAGGTAATTCCAAGAAGTTAATGAAAGTTGTATACAGGTATTACTAAATTAAAAACTGACTTAATAATGATCTTGTAACTCCCAGGAAATGTTTGTGAAAAAAGCCAATGAAAGAGTTTTTCTGTGTTAAAGATTTTAAAGACACTAAATGATCTGGGGTGTGACACTCATGAACAATATAGATTTGCTTGGACAAGATGAAGTTCTTGTCATCAAAGTATAACGAAAAATATGATTACACTTTACCTATACTTACTTACATAATATACCATTATGCCATGACCCTCTTATTATGTACAAAGAACATGACAGAATATTTACATTTGTAGATCATATGAACCTGTACTGTACCTTCAACTATGGTGCTTTCAGAGAAGCTAAAGGATTATTAGCAAGTCCCCCAAGAAGAAAATTTATGTGAGAGAGATTACGGGCAGTCTGAGACAGTGAAGAGTGTGCAGACAGTGTGGAGGTTTGGGCAGCTGGGATGGTTGTGATAAGACGAGAAATGCGATTAGTCTGCTCTGTCAGAGGACCATGGATGCACTGTGTTAGGTTCCTCTCCAGCGATGCATTAGTCTCCCCTGTGAAGCATAAGTTTTTTAGAACAGTAACATTAAAGTAAAAAGAAAAAAGAAATGCAGGATTGAAGTACAGGGGGGTATAAAAATCCATCTTATGAAAGAGGAGAGGAAACAAGTGTTCTGTGAGAACACTGCCATGAAAAAACCTCTCTGTGCCATTCAAAGATAGCCATGTACACACACACACACACACACAGTAGTATAAACTAGGTGACCAAGGCTAGATAAAGAAAAAAATGCACAAGTCGAACTTTTCCCATACTTAACCCTTAAACGACAGTGATAGAAAGTATGTGATGAGAGCCTTTTGTCCCTCAAGACAAGGATCATCAATATATAGGAATCAAGATAAGTTTTAAGTTTGACACCTGATTTCTGCTCCAGTGATTTATTGTGAGACCCCTCAATGCCATAGTGATGCCTTGACATCCTAGAAAAATAAGTAAACTAACAATGGTAATCAGCGAGTGATGGTGAGCTAAAAGAATTGGTAATTTGCTATACCATAGTGACACTGACGAACTAGTCACCAGCATTGGAGAATTGCTTAGAGACCAGGAGGAAAGCGACATGGAATGTGAGGTAGAAGTGCTTCTCCATGTGTTACATATGTATACTGGGTAGGAGTGCATTATCAACATGTGCCTGAGGTGTTTGTAGTGTAGGAGAATAAAGAAGTGTCGATGAATATGATAGCAAAATCATTGTGGAAAAACAATGGTACAACACCTTTGTGAATGAACTTTTGTTTATTTTTGCCCTTACCATCTGTGTCAGGGAAGTACATGGACCGGGACAAGTACCGGCAGCATTGGTACGAATCAAATCCACATTTCTCGTAAGTCTACCCCTATCAAATCTCAGTCTCCATTATAGTTTTATAAAATGGATATTATAAAAAATATTTAATGAACCCTCGAAGATCTGGACTAAAAGGGGGGACCAATTGTCCGAATCTCCCGGTGAATATACAGTACTAAATGTATAAAAACGATAAATAATGATATAAAAAACACCAAAAATACAGTACTGTACATACTATCCCGACCACTGGGGTTAGTTATTCATACTTTTTCCTGTGAAAAAGCCATAATTTTGAGCAACATATTACTGTACTCATTCGTACTCAAATGTACTACAGTACACTAAAGGACTCCACACACTCACCATAAATGGTGTGTGTGTGTGTGTGTATGTGTGTGTGTGTGCAATTGATTAAAAAATTAAGAAAATAGTACATACATCTACCTAAAATTCAGAGTTAAAAATACTTTATACCTTATGATAATTACCAGCATTTTTTATTTTGGGGGGCACTCTCTGAATGTAAGATTGAGTGTGTATGTAACTACTTTACACATATCTACCCAAAATTTCAAAAATTTTGAGTTAAAAAATAACCATAACATAACAGAGGTCACAGGTGGGGTATGGTTGGAAATATCTCTGTTTTGCCTGGGAATTACTTGGTACTCATTTAAAATAGGACTTATAGGAGAGTATCCATAAAGTCAAAAATCCTAACCTGAGTTATCTGTAACTCAGGGAGTGTCTGTACTGTATTTTTTGTATCATCGAAGATGTTATATATTAATGATGAATTGTACACCACAAGAGGTTGATAATATGAAAATATAATAATAAATGAATAATAAAAATAAGTCCAAAACTGGCCCAAGTGGCAATGCCTCGATCCCCTCCTACCTCCCACCTGGTCACATATGCTGCACAGTAGTGTATCTTCCTTCTCATTGTCCGTGACTCTCGTTAGGCATACAGGAAGTTTGATTATGCCACTGTATTCAGTGAGCAGATTTTGTCCTTTTCATAAGAATTTTTTTTAATTTACCCGTTTTTTAATCTAATATTTCCCCATCAGAGCAAATAGTCTATGTATAAATTCCTGCTGTTTAAGGGCTAAGGTAGGATATTCAATTAACCAACTTGTATTCAGTTTAATGACCAAAATTCTCAGTGAATCAGCTTCGCTGTCATTTGTGGAGTTAGGCTAGACATCCTTGTTCATTGGCTTAGTGGACAGCCAGGCTAGTGAACTTACAGACTCACTTTCTATACATACTTTGAGGTAAAGTCAGTGACAAGCAGACCCAACCCAGCTAACCAGCACAGGTCCAGTATCACCTGTACATTTGTGCTGTCAATAGCTCTCTTTCATCAATCAAAAAGAACTGTGGATTCTAACCTGGTGTGCTGACCTTATGGGATCTCCAAACAAATGTAAAAGTGAAGGTATTAAGCACTAGTGCAAAAAAGAAAACTGTTTTGCATCAAATATCATTTGTCTCTGAAGATACTTGTAGATACATACACCCATCAATTGCCTGAACCCTCCATTTCATCCTACCCATTCATCTTTTAACACTTCATTTCCAATTAACATACAGTATATGAATAGAGAACCAATCAATCAGTCAGAGCACCATCCACATATCTGGGGGTTGGCAACCACACTCCTCCACTCTACATGTTCTTGGGCTGTTTTTACCAATCCTCCAAGGTTTTGTATCTCCCTGGGGTCCCAATGGACTTATATTGCACTGATCTTCCTAATTTGGGCCCATTGGGTGTGATGGGGTGGTGGAGATGACTGGTATACCTACTGGGTTAATACATCACCCTGGGCTGAATGGTTAGTGGCTGTCTTAGGACAAAGAATTACCCCACTTTCAGGTTTTATTATGATCTTCCCTAGCAATATATGTACAGTTGCCAGCAAAAGTCCTCCCACAAACTTACCACACAGGGTTGTGGGAGAACTTTTGCTGGCAACTGTACATGGTAAAAAAAAAATAATAACCTTACAAAGTTTGTGGTGAAGTAAAGAATGATGAGTTCTTCTGACTTGTTGCTGGTAATGTTGTTGCTGTTGTTGTTTCAGTTGTTTCTTCTCAACATACTGCTTCACAGTGCAACCTTCTGGCGTAGGCGCTCCTGGCTTTTGATTCACTGCGGGAAATAAGTAAAGCCATAACTACACCTCACATTTCTAACAGTCTTTATGCTGTTTCCCATAATTATATAAGGCGAGAACCTCCATACAAGAAGGGTTAGCAAGTCTTTTGAACCTTAAAATGAGTGACTTGTTCTGTAAACACTAAAACAGATGGCGCCTTTTTGCCTTACCTGACCACAAGATCAACCTTGCATCTTATGAGGTGGAAAAATTTATTCATCCTCTGAAAAAAATGAAGGTATGATCCTGAAATCCTGATTTCTAACTGAGCTGAGATAAGACAATTTGTGTAGTCAGCAAGTCTACTTGTGACTAAGAATCCAAAAATTAGAAAGTCTTTCACCTTCACACTAGATTCCAATAATGGAGATACTTGATATAAAGATATCTTGATAAGCAAGAAGCCTTGAGTCTTTTCAACAACTAAGCACTAGTGAGCTTCTTGGTCCTTGATTGTTTGACACACAAAACCAGGAGAGGGGGACCCAATTGGAGTAGGAGGGACCCAAGTCATTCTATCCCAGCTCAGTCAGAAAAGAGGATTTCAGGATCAATCTCTCATATCTAACCTACAAGTACACTACCCATGCAGCTCAGCACCCCAATCTGGGAGTCACTACCAGTAACTGAATCACAATTAGGTAGCAGAATGTTTAAGGGGTGTTTTTACCAATCCTAATAGAATTTGTATATCACTGGGGTTCCATCTCAATACAGTATTGTACTATATTAAATAAATGGATCAGCTGAGATTATTGATTTTGCAGTCATCTTTCATTGTATACTGTACAGGCACTTTCACCTGATTTTTTTTCTTCTCATATTTATCCATAGTGTAATGGAGAAGTAGCTGGAAACTCAGAAACAGTTACAAAATACTGAGAGCATCGGTGACATGCTAATGGTGACTAAATTGACTAATGCAATTAAGGTGGAATGTACTGTTCAAGCTGATTTCAATGAGAACTACAAGTGCCTGAAGCTGTTAGATCAGGTTGAGAAAGTTGTGGAAAGAGTGCAACTACATGGAAAATATGTAGGGAAGGAGGGAAGGCTGTATTCATATGTGTAGACTTGGAGAAAGCATTTGACAGAATACCACATAAGGTATTACAGTGGGTAATGAGAAAGTTATGGGTCAAGTAGTGTCTTGTTTGAGTGGTCATGGCAATCCAGTATATGAGGGCTAAAAAACCACTGAGAGTAAATGGTGAGGAAAGTGAGGAATCTGAGGTTAAAGTAGGGATCCATCAAGGGTTGTCTTGAGCCTCTTTCTGGTTTTCATGATGCTAGAGGTGCTATCAACAGGCCTGCCCTGGGAGTTATTTACAATGATGGCTTAAGGTGGATAATATTCAGGAGGCAGTGAAAAATAAAAGCACAATATTGATTAATGGCATGAGTGAGGGATTCATGGTGAAAATTGGAAAATGGCCATTTCCTGACTGTAAGAAAGGTGTTGGATATACAAGAGGTGCACTGGTGTAAACAACACAATGCAGGATGTTGTTGACTTTAAGTGTTTTGTATACAAAGTATACAGCACAGTTAAATCATGAGGCCTTACCAAGGTTAGAGAAACTCAACACAGGGGATACAGTATATCCTGAACTGTATCAATGAACTCTGCTACCAAGGTGACATGATCAGTGTTGAAAGGGTGCTGAAGCGAGCTCAGTTGCAAGAGTCAGATGTGACTGATAGAAGTCTAGTAAGTTGCTGCTTTTAATGACAGTAAAAGGACCTTCTTTCTCTCCATGTGAAAGGAAAGATGTATGCAACTGGCATGAGAAGTGTGATATTGTATGGCAGTAAAACATGGGCAGTTAAAGAGGATAACATACAAAGGTTTGAGTAAACTGAAATAAGAATGGTAAGGTGGATGTGTAATGTGGCACTGAAATATATGAATCCCTGTTCAGAGATAAGAGAGAAGCTGGGGGTACTGGTAATGTTTTGCATATAGTGAAACCTCCACATAATGGACTTCTCTCCCCCATATAATCCATTAGATGGGAGCTTCACATCTAACAGACCTTAGATATAACAAACTTTCATCTCTATATAGTTCGTTAGATGGAGGTTTCACATCAAAAGGAACCTCAATAGAGGTTTTACTATCGAGGTAGTTAGAGCTGGTTTGGGCATGTGGGAAGAATGGAGGAGATCAATTAAGTATGATAAAGTGTTTCTATTTGTCATGTGTGTGTGTGATAACATTCTTTATTGTCTTACCAAGCTGACCCCTGGCCATGGCTGCACAAAACTCCTCCTCTTCATCTGACTCGGATGCTTCCCCACACACAATGATCCCCTGCACTCCACTCATCTGCAGGAAAGATTAAACCATTGTCTTGGCAAGTCATATACTGTAATCCGAAGTGATAAATGTAAATTATGGTGCAAATTAATACTGGCAGGAGCAAAGTTTTGGTGTACTACAAAAGATAACATTAACTTACATGAAAAAGAACTGGAGGCAATGCGTGAATAAAAGTGTTTAGAGTCAGTTTATGAGACTGTCAATGAATTGACAAAAGAAAATAAATTTGCATGGAGGAGCTCAACAGTCTGTGTGGATAGGGACACAACTTCAACAATGCAATAATTTAAGGTTTGAATTGAGTAATTATTAAATTATCCATGTCAATGGCACACCAATCTTTTTACATTGAATCAAGGATTGACCCAGGAAATCCCATTTTAAAGTCTAGCTAGGACAAGAGACTTATGCATGTACCCATTAAGTGTACACCAACACTGAAAGGTGGCACTGATGAAATAAGTAGTGCAACTCTCCTTTTCAACAGTAGCCCTCAGAGATGGGTCTGGGAGGCAAATGACACACCTCCAGGATGAGAGCTAAGTGAGTCTTGATGCTTCAGCAGCCTGCATTTGTGGACCCTCCCTTGTGCTACTCTTCACTCCAGCTGAACTCAAATATAAAATCGAAGGAAGGAGGTAGGTTTCCAAGTCTGCTTTTTCTATATCAGCAATAAAATGGGATTCCAATAATCAGTTATATTATTTGTTTAAGAATACTCATACAGTATATCTAAAAACTAGCTTCACAAAAGAAAAGGTGGCAAAATATATCTAATGCTACTAAACACCAGCATCTCATATGGGAGGTAACTAAAACCTACAATAAGAGATTATGCCACAAAACATTCCAGCACTACCTCCTTGACACAGATCACCACCAAAGACCTGGAACTATTATTAATTTTTATACATGGAAATAGATAAAAAATGGTGTATTGCTGTTTGGTTGCAAATATACCAGTACTGTATATATATTTTATTTTAGTAATTTTGACTTTTTGAAGTTACAGGTACTTAGGAAAATACAATTTGGAGGGATTTAAGTTCACTTGAACAAGTTCATGGGATATAAAGTTGACTTTTTACTCATGTAATTACTGTATGTCTTATCAATCAGCGGAAGTCAGACAGTCACATGATACAGCTGCGCATGCCCAAGCTTTTGAATTTGAATTGGTCAATCGTAAGATGTCTTCCATATATGAAAGGTGTTCGCTGTTAGAATGGCAAACCATTCAAGGTGTTTTAGAAAAAAAAACACCATTACAACTAACATCTTCAAGGCCCATGGTGAGCTCGCTGTGCTCACCATGTTTCCCCACCCTCTTTTAATATTCCTGGATCTGCCCCTGCTTATTGACAGTTCATAGAAACATCAACATAATGTGATCACTTGCTTTGCTTGAGCTCAACCAAAGCAGATGGAATTATTACTGTAAATATTTTGAATAATAAAACAGCATCAACCAGTGTATGATTTCTTCATATACAGTATACCATAGGCTCACTTGATGAATGAACTGTACCTTCCCTAAATTACCCTGGCTGGGCCCTGGGTGAAATCCCACTTGGACAATCATCTGTTTTATGTGATTTTTATAATTTTTAGTTACATACTCAGGTAATTTATGAGGAAACCGTTACCACCAGGAGTTTTCGATTTATTTCATATTTCCCTCAGATGTTCTTGTCATTATATAGTAAGTATTTTAAAAGTGGCAGCAACTTTTTATTTGAATTATAATTTTTTTTAGGTAAATTTCCTGATTAACACCCAACTTCCTTTGAAGCATAAAATTTTCTTTTTTCAAAGGTTTTTGGTGTGATTCATTTGATTCTAACTCACTCTCACAGAAATGAAAGAAATCTATCATGATCTTGTTTACCAAGACCTGATACACTGTCACACACTATGGGGGACCTCTGGCTCTTCAAAAACACAATCTCTGGTTACTGCACAAAAAAGAGTTGTACGGACAATGACCTACTTGAAAAAACAGATCACACAAATGAAAAATTTGCTATATTGAAAATGTTAAAATTCGAAGAAATTAACACCTTCTACTGTGCCATCTTTGTTTACAAATCTATCAATCACTTGCTTGGCAATAATTATTTCCAGTTCCGGAATAATCAGAGATACAACTTAAGGCACCCAGAGCTACTAAGACCACCCCCTATGCGCTCCTCTCAGTCCCAGACCTCCATAAAATATCACGGTATGAAGGTGTGGAACAACTTACCCCCACCCATCCAAGCAAAGACTACGCTCCCTTGCTTTAAATTATCTCTTAAAAAATATCTATTGTCTAAGTATTAATATTTCTTGTAACACCTACTATATTTACAGTACCTGCTTTTATTGTACCATCAAAACCGTTTTATCGGAAATAAATAATTGCCAACTAGACATAATCCTGACAGCTCTGTCCTCTTGTTCAACCTTATTACTGTATAACCCATGTTGTACTGCTCCCCCATTATACTTATGTTTTTCAATTCCACTGTAATTTATGTATATACGTATAAATAAATAAAAAATACAGTAAACTAAAAAATAAATAAATAAATAAATAAATAAATAAAATTAATAAATATTGAAGGGATAACCGTGGAAACATTATGAGATGTTCTTATTACCACCATGCTATTGTACTATTCCAGATGATACTAAATGTTACATAATACTTCCTTGAGATAAATGTATAGTATATATCAGGTGCCTAAAAGAGAGCTCAGGTTCTCAACTGGCTCAGCCATGTTAATATTGTTATTACTATCCACTCCGTATCTGTGTTTTTCTGGCTAAATAAACTGTTTCAATTCAATTCAATTCAATTTCTGTCGGAAATCACTCGTTTCTAAGTTATAACCCCCTAACCTAACCTAACCTTATCGAGAATTAACCATTGTTCTGCCTACCGTTTACTCTGATGAAGGCCCGGGCTGAGGATGAGGACCGTGTTCGTCTTCAGAGGCAGGGATAAGAGGTAGCTATCACACTCAGTCGCCTCCCAAAATAATTGCTTTAAAAAAATCAATATTTCGACAAGTAATTTCCAACAGATGTTTATAGAAGAAGAGTTGCTTAGAACTGCAAAAGGTAAGTGGTAGGGCCATTAGCATTGTTGTGCATGACTTAGGTGTTAATACGGAAAAATACCCTTTTCTTAGTTTTTAGTTTTCTCTAATATCATAAATCAGCTATAGTGGGCAGGGCATGAATGATGAGGGAATTTTTTGGGTAAAACATGGTGAAAACTGTTCATATGACACTAAAATTATGTCTCTATGTGCTTTGTATGTAAAGAAATTACTTAGTTACCGTAAATACTCCTCCCAAAAATCTGCCGTCATCACAGCCATCCGTTTGTTCACAACCTACTCCCTCAATCTGAGTGCACTCTCACATCCACAAAAAAAAGTAAATTACACCATGAAGTTTGATCAAAGTTGTGTTCATTGGTAGCAGACATCAAAATAATTCATTTCTGTTTAATAAGGCGGGTCTACTCGTGGCTAGGAAATTAGGTAAGTTAGATAGGATTCTTTGGGATGTTAGGCTAGGTTCTATACGGTTCTAGTAAATGTCGCTTCTTAAAATACTTACTACGGTATAATAAAAACAACTGTGGATAAAATGAATGAAATCGAACACCTCCTCTGGTGGTAGAGGTGTTCTCATACATCACCTATGATCAGGTTAGGTTGTTAGGTTACATTAAATAGCATAAAACAGACAATCGTCCAAGTGGGATGTAATCGGGAATCCAGGAAACAAAAGGCACGAAAAAAAACGGGAGCTGGACAACTCGTACCCAAGCAAATGTACCCTTCAGAACATGTCAACTCGTCCCCAATTTACGAGACAGTTCGCATATATATATATATATATATATATATATATATATATATATATATATATATATATATATATATATATATATATATATATATATATATATATATATATAGTGTTGTTGTCAATGTGTACAAGTCATGACTTTATATCAGTTCACCATAATCGGGCCTGGCCCTGCCATCAGTCGTGCTCACAAGAACTTACAACACTTATACCCATGAATCATGATCCTGGTCACTGCTCACTTGCAATATCATTACCTTTTTTCAGTCTTGACTTGTAGTGACTTTACAGTGAAGATGTATATGGGTCATGCAGAGGTTAACCATCGTGCCGTAGACAATGTTAACAAATTATCATGACCAAGACAGCCCAATTTTTGTCTTGTCTACTTAAGCAGACAAGACTGACCTTGTAAGCTAAACTTTCTATGATACTTTTGGTTAACTTAATTTATTTAAATCTGCGTGGTTCATATTGTCAGAAAAAGAATATTTCCTCAATTAAGTTCAAATATTTTTTTAACATTAATCATTTTACGGGGAAGCTATAGTAAACATTAGCGTTCGTGACTTATTGATCCGCTTACCACGAACTCTTAAGCTCAGCCAAAGTAAATATTTCTTGGGTTTAGCTTTAGAAAGGTAACGTAATGCGCTCCGATTAATTATTGTTCTGTTCAACTTGCTTTCCCTAGATGATAATAATAATAATAATAATAATAATACTGATAATAATAATAACAATTATTTTACTTTTATCCTCTTCGCCACTGATCGGCTCGTTAGCCGCTTGGGCGGTTGGTTACGTTGTAGTGGATTTCTCCCCTACAAACGCTGTTTGTCGCTGCGTAGCCGACCCCATGAATTCCTCTGTGTATGCCTCGCGGTCTAGGTCAACCAGCGCCGCCCACGGAGCAGGGGTCAACTACGAAGCCACGCCAACCCCCGCTATTTAAGACCTGACCTCGTGGTGATATCCCTCTTTCTACCTACACCAACCAGCCAGCAACACCTCCTCCTCCTCCGCCTGCCTGGCGGCCCTCGCTCCCGCCGGCGAGCATGGCGACCCACAAGCTGTCCTCCTCTGAGCATCCTCACCAACCAGCTCTCTCTACATCACGCTTGTAACCATGCTGCCTTCCCAGCACCAAGCTGCATTGTACATCCAATACAACATGTATACAGAAAGCACATTGTGAGTTTCCTTTCTCCAACCCATCCTGAGTGTGAACACAAACATCCCGTACCCCACAACGTCTCTGTTACGCACTGTTGGCAAGTACTGGGTAAGTGAGCATGCACTGGCTCCTGAATGTATCGGAAGTGCCGAACCTGCTCCAGTCATAGTCCAGTGTTGATCATGACTGGTCTTGAAACAGTTCACTGAGTAGTGCCCTTTGAGATGTTTATAACTTTATACACCTCAATTAGGTTGTGGGGTGTGGGATGTTTGGGTTCACACTCAGGATGGGATGGAGAAAGGAAACTCACAATGTGCTCTCTGTATACATGTTGTATTGGATGTACAATGCAGCTTGGTGCTGGGGAGGCAGCATGGTTACAAGTGTGATGTAGAGAGAGCTGGTTGGTGAGGGTGCTCAGAGGAGGACAGTTTATGGGTCGCCATGCTCGCCGGCGGGAGCGAGGGCCGCCAGGCAGCGGCGGAGGAGGTGGTGTAGCTTGCTGCGGCTGTAGCTAGAAGAAGAGAGAGCTGGTTGGTGAGGATGCTCAGAGGAGGACCAGCTTGTGGGTCGCCATGCTCTCCGGTGGGATCAAGGACCGCCAGGCAGGCGGAGGAGGAGGAGGAGGTGTTGCTGGCTGGTTGGTGTAGGTAGAAAAAGAGAGAGGTCACCACGAGGTCAGGTCTTAAATAGCAGGGGGTAGGCGTGGCTTAGTAGTTGACCTCCGTGATGTATGGCGGCGCTGGTTGACCCAGACCACGAGGCATACACCGGGGAATTCGCGGGGACGGCTACGCAGCAACAAGTACCAGGCACCAGTCTGGTGGCCCTCCTTTGGACATTTTCAATCAACTAACAGTCCCTAGCATATCTCGGGGACGAGACGGGGTGACAGTACTCCAGGCGGGTTCACCTTCTTACAATGGCCAGTTCGTTGTCAACATTGACATTGAATCTTAGCAGCCATTTATTCGACCATTCTTGAGAGTCATAGAGATCTTTCTGCAGCTCTTCACAGCCTGCTTGGTTTTTAATTTCCCGAAATAGCTTGGCATCGTCCGCAAACATTGAGGAGTGTACAGCTTCTGGCATGTCATTTATGAAGCAAACAAACAACAGCGAGCCCAATACAGTGCCCTGTTGTACCCTGCTTGTGACAGGTACAGATGATGATTTCGTGCCATTAATCACCACACACTGCTTGCGGTCAAGCAGAAAGTCTTCTATCCACCCCTTGCCCGACTGTAGTATTAGCTAGGCAAGTTCAGGCGCTCCAATCTCTCAGGGTAGCTGAGGTACCGAAGTGCAGGCACCAGTCTGGTGGCCCTCCTTTGAACATTTTCAACCAACTGACAGTCCCTAGCATATCTTGGGAACCAGACGGAGTGACAGTACTCCAGATGGGGAAGCACTCCACTCTTGAAAATCGTAACGAGGGACGGACCGTCTAGATGTCTGAACGACCTTCTTATAAGACCCAATAATTTATTTGCCTGATTTGCCTTCTTCTCGCAATGGCCCGAGAACTTCAGCTCATTGTCAACATACACACCTAGGTCCTCCTCACATTCTGTCTCAAATAGTGCAGTTTCTTCATCCTGTTGGGACATATGATACGCCTCCTTACCGTTGGTACGCCCCAGGTGCATCCTCTTACACTTCGTGACACTGAATCTCACCAGCCATTTCTTCGACCATTCTTGGAGCCCACAGAGGTCCTTCTGCAGCTCTTCACAGTCCGCTCTGCTCTTCATTTCCCGAAATAACTTTGCGTCATCAGCATACATTTGTATGGAGGAGTGTACGTCAGGCATGTCATTTATGAAACAAACAAACAACAGTGGGCCCAATACACTGCCCTGTTACCCCGCCTGTGACAGGTACGGATGATGATTTCGTGCCATTAATCACCACACACTGTTGGGGTCATGTAGAAAGTCTTCTATCCATACTAGGACATTTCCCCGAATTCCGTACCCTTCCAGTTTGATTTTCAGCCTTTCTTGGGGTACAGTCTAAAGCCTTGGCAAAATCTAGGTAAATATTGTCGATATTACCACCCTGTTCTAGAATATGGGTCCAAATATCCAATACCTTGAGCAATTGTGTTAAGCAGGAGCGCCCCGGCATAAAACAGTGTTGGCAATCCTTTACAAGGTTGTTTCGTAATAGATGTTCCATCGCGGCATCTCTGATAATACTCTCAAGTACTTTACATATTATGCTGATCAGGCTCACCGGTCTATAGTTGTTCGTGGAGTGACGATCGCCCTTCTTGAAGATAGGACTCACATAGCCACTTTCCATTCACTGGGGACCTTTTGCTCATCCAGGCATTTACAAAACAGGATCTTCAGGGGTTCGGCAAGCTCGTTGCACAACTCTCTTAGCACTCTAGGATGTCAGGGCCGGGACTCTTATGGTCACGTCTCTGTTACGCACTGTTGGCAAGTACTGGGATGCACCGGGCACCACAAGACCACACAACTGGTGGCCTAAAAGCCTTCTCTATAACCCTCAAGAACCAGAACTACTGTACACAAAACAATAAATAAATAACACATCATTAATTACACCTCCTTTTGACCAACACTAACAAGCACCCAAGAGCCAGACCCATTATACACCACAGCATAATTTTTTTTTTTTTTACGGGAATTAGCCCACCCGGGCACAGGTCAAACGACCTACAACGGAGCCTGGGGGGCGAAAAAAAAGTACGGAAAGAAATTGTAAATATAGAAAACAAAGGTTATACTGTATTAATGTTGATGCCAGTCACACCTTATTTTCGACCATAATATTAAAAATAAAAGATGAGTGTGTTCTATTAGTTACACAAGGACCTGGTAGACCTCTCCAACTAACACAATAACAAATATCTCTTTGCTAGCTAGCTTAGCTTCCCCCCCCCCCCTGAACTTGCCTAGCTTATACTACAGACGGGCAAGAGGGGACCTAGTTGAGGTGTATAAGCATCTCAGGGGACACTACTCAGTCGAGTGTCCTTACTTGGAGCTGGCGGACGCTCGCCCCACAAGGGGTCACAGCTCAAGATTGAAGAAGCCGCAAGTCCAGAAAACCGTGGGGGCAAACTTTTTCGGAGTGAGGGTTGTAAACTCTTGGAACAATCTACCAGAGAGTGTTGTGACGGCACCGAGTGTGAGCTCTTTCAAGACCAGACTTGACCAACACTGGAGCGGGTTCAGGTACATTTAGGAGCCGGTGCATGCCCAGAATTTGCCAACAGTGCGTGATAGAGACGTGACCAATCGCCCGGGCGGCTAGCGAGCCGATCTTTTGGTGAAGAAGATAAATGAAAAGGAAAAGTAATCAGAGACGTGACCGATCGCCCAAGCGGCTAACAAGTCAATCAGTGGGGAAGAGGATAAAAGTATAAAAGTAAAGTAGACTGGTCAAAGAAAGTTGCCCAACTCTAGACGACTACGCTTTGGCAGAACTCCATTGCTATGGGATGCGGCTACGCTGTTGTAGGGGATGAGTATCCATCCACTGCATCACCACAGCCAATCAAATCGTCTCTACTAGGTGGATAGTCCACCTGCTCATATTTTCTACTACTTTTCTTCCCGTTTCATAACTTTCCTCTTGTCTCCCTTCCCATGGCAAACCATTGCCATTTTATCTCCATTATCATCATCATAGGTGAGTGAGTCAACTGTTTCTGCATAGTATGAAGTATAAGCCTAGTGACAGCTAAAGATATTTGTTGCTCGAGTATTGTGGAACTATTGCTGACTATATTATTCAAAGTGAGAAGTCCAGCTGTGAAGACATTACCCTGTTAACAGTGTTATGAAGAATCAGTGCTTATTAAAGCAGACTACAGTGCACAAGTGTTTCTGTGATCTGGTGGAAATCTACCTGATACTGATCGTCGGGAAATTACTGGAGACTGGCGGGACAGCCAGTGGTAATTCAACAACACATGTGATATTGTAGTGGATCCCTCCCCGACAAATGTTGTTTGTTGCTGAGTAGCCGACCCCGCGAATTCCCCAGTGTATGCCTCGTGGTCTAGGTCAACCAGCGCCGCCTTACATGACAGAGGTCAACTATCTACCCACGCCTACCTCCGCTATAAAAGACCTGACCTCGTGGTGACCTAGCTCTCTCCTCTTCTAGCTACAGCCGCAGCAAGCTACACCACCTCCTCCGCCGCTGCCTGGTGGTCCTCACTCCCGCCGGCGAGCATGGCGACCCACAAGCTGTC